GCCATCTCAGCCCCCTTTGGTCATGCACAAAAGGGTGCCCTTGTATTGTAATAATTCGTTGAAGATTCTTGGATCCGGTTGCGGCATGGAGATTCACAGAAGGGTGATTCGAATTTGAAATTACCATCATTGATTATAAATTAAGCGAATTTATAAGATCAAGGTTGATCGATAAAAATCTCCATTTTTTTAAATTAATCGTATTATTAGGAAAATTATCCGAATTAAAGGTACTGGTTGAAAGGCACTTGTTGCGATTAGAGATTGGTTGTCTGACTTTATCGTGCACCAAAATACAATTATATGGTAATTCTTGTTGCATAATTATTCAAAGAGTTTTCCTATTTTAATCTTTAAAGATATTTGAAAAATGAAAATTTCATTGATTTTTTTTTAATGATAATATTATTATTAATTTGCATTAATATTAATACAAATATAAATAAATTATATAATTCATGAAAGAAAAAAAAAGCTCATAATTAACTTTTTAGATAGAAATAGGAATCTTATATTTAATTTTACTTATATGTACTTTATTTTTTGGAAAATATACTCACATTATTTCCTTCTTGTTTTTTTTCCACTTCTCTAAAAATATATTTTATATGAATCATCAAATAGTATCTAAAATTTTAAAATTATAAATAATATAAGATTAAGTTTAATTTTCCATACTTTTCTTTTTTCTAAATTTTATATTTCAAGTTTTACTTACTAAATTTACTCAGTCAATCTCTTTCTTTACATATTTTAATCCTTTAGAGATAAGTATCAGCAGACAACCACCTAAAATTTTCAAAATCATGAATGTTTCATATAAAATTAAATTTAATTTTCCATATAAACTATTTTAAATTTAATTTTTTCTATTTGAAAATCCTTTAATTAACAAAATTTCTCTGTTTAAGGGATATACCTGGAAAAATCTGTAGCGCGTGTTATGATGCAAAAGCACCCCCACGATGCGTGACCAAAGGGTGTTCAGGGGATGCTTTGACCCCCTGTCACGAAACAACGGTGAAACCGTATCGGCATAATTACACGGATGGCGTTAGTGTCACATATCCTGAACAATGGCCAGTGAATAGGATGGAACAGGAGAGGGAGAGAGCGTTAGAATGGGGTGGATGCACCTGCAAGGAACCATATTTCATCCGGGGAACGGAACACCGACTTTTGTGCCTTTATACGCCGTGAAATCGCGAGGGTCACTAGGTTTCCCTAATTTCTATTATGCCCGAGATAAGACCGTGCTAAATGTCGACTGTCATCGGGGGATACACCCTCTTCTTTAACTAGGTGATACTGCAATTATATTTTTCCTTTTCTATCAGATTTTTCTCGTAGAAATTTTTAGCACCATTAATAGATTATTTTTAGTTTTAGTATAATTTAAAAAAGATTTTTATCTTTCTATTTTGATGAAAATTCATAAGATTTTTTCTCCTTTATATGTGGATATTGTTTAGAAAGATTATTTCTTAAATTTTTGCTTCCTTATCTGGGAATGTTTTATGAAAATTGTCTTTTTTTATCTAGAAGAATATTTTAAATATATTTTTCTTAATAGACATGTATTAGACGTATTAGATGTATTTTGATATATTTAATTTCTTTTTAGAAATTTTTCTTATTTCTATTTTTTAATAAGTATATATAGTTATTGCTTTTTGTTAATTTTAATTTTTTGCAGGTTTTCTACAATTCTTTCAACCGCAGATTATAATTATTATAGTTGGTTAATCGAACTTGAGAATAGCTGGAAGCTAGATGAATCTCAAAGAATTGACATATTGAACATTGAGAGGTGTTTGCTGATTCATCGTCCATACTATAGAAATCATATTTGGTAAATAAAAAGTCTAGGGTTTCTTTTGTTTCTGTTCTTCGATCAGGATAAGTAGTCTTTTGTATAATGCTCTTCAACGTTCATAAAAAATCAATTTCGAAAACTTATTTTTCAATATTTTAGAAATGAATCATGCTTAATAATAATCTTCTATTTCTTAAAACAACAATTTAGAAGAAGAAGTAATTAATTTATTTCAAAAATAGAGTATAACTCAAAAAAGCAAACCAAGATATCTATTCTCTCTCAAAATGAACAGTTTCAATCATCAACTCTCCAAGATCCCATAGTTTCCCAAACTGCAGAGAAACAGAAAAGAAAGAAAGGAAAAAACCAATTTCAAAAGAAATATCTCCACTTCTACAAAATGAAAAATCACCAATTTTCCAAGATTTCCAAGAAAAATAGAGAAAAGTATTCATAATATCTTTACTTCTTCAAAATGAAAAACACCGACCATTAAAGAAATCATAGCAAAAGAAAAAAAAGAAAAAAAATTGCAGAAAAATTCAAGATACCTTCCTTCTCTCAAAATAAACAACACAAATCATCGATTCATCTTTCACAGTTTCCAAGAAAGGAATGAAGAAAAATAAAGCAAATCCAAAAGAAATATCTTCTCCTGTTGAAGAACACCAATCAAGAAACCGATTTCTCATGATGTATCCTGGCCAATATCGCCAGACTCGAAGGATGTTCCCCGTATTTTGAAAGTACGAGGAGGCGCAGCGTATCGAGTATTTGGCCGTTTGTCAGTCCGCGTAAATACGCGACAATGCCCTCCCTTTGTGCGGCCCGTCTATCGTCGATGTTTGCCAAATAAAAGCCTATATACGGTGGGGGCCTCTTTGTCTCTCCGCGCGCGCTCTCTCCCCCATCGCCACGCGAATGATACGCCTAGTTGCCTATGAAACCGGCGGCCCCTTTACAAAGGGGGGCATCGAGACGAGAGACGGGTAAACGGTGATGCAAAGTATTTCACGATGGAACACGTGCGAGCGCACCGACCAAGGAGACGATCAACCAGGAGGGTGGAACGGACACGACACCGAGCATACGCTTATTCGGGGTGGCGTTTGCGGGACGAATTGGTCGGAAACGTTGGACCATCTTCGATAAACGATGGAGCGGATTTTGTCTGGTTTCTGGTATGAGAAAGGGAATGGATGGTTTGTTTTAATTTTTGGAATTTTTTTGTGATTTTTTTAGGTACTCATTAGCGATTTTTCATTGATTGTTATTTTTACTTTTTTTTAAAGTGAGCAAGTGAAAAGAGACATTTATATTTTTTATAAATATTATGTTAGATACTTGAGTAACTTTTTGTTAGATTTTACTACTTTTTTGCAGTAGTAAAATGGATTCTATCTTTTTCCACTTATGTTATAATTTAATATAGTTAATAAATAATCGATTGGATGCTTAGAAAAATAATATTTCAGAATAGGGATATAACACAATTTTATATTCTAATCTGTCGCATCCCTCGTTCCTTTCAATCTTAAATATTTAGCTTGTGATTTAATTTGTGATCCACATGTACATATTTGTAATGCTATTCTTATCAAAGCTTACATTTGTAAAATTAAAACTTATGTACTTACTTATGTACATAAATGATTAAAAAATTCTTAAACTTAACAAATTATAAATGTCTCTTAAATTTCATCATTTTGTAAACTTATCACAAATTTCTACCAATATAAATATTTTTATAATTTTTTTATAGCATATTTAATCAATATCGATTAAACTCCTTTTTTTCTATATTCTCAATAGGATTAACCATTCATTAATAAATTCTCAATAATTTCAAATTCAAAATAATCTCAAGTTCTTCACTCACCTATTTAATTCTGACTTGATCCAAAATAATTCATATTTAATTCTTTCATCATATGTATGCAAACATTAAGTCTATGAAATCACAAATCTCCATCACTCCATTACCTAATCCATCAATTTACTCTAAGCATTCATGATCAAATCCTCAACAATTCCAAATTCAAGGTAACAATCCCAAGTCCTTCACCAACATTATACGTCACTGTCGCGAGATATTGATCTCCGGAAACATCGCGCAACCAGTTGAGCACCGCGATTACCAACTCACCCTCTCCACAACCTTTCATCGAGGGGCGGTTCCAATTCAAACCAATCACATCGCAGCTTTTGTCTCCCTTAGCGAGCCTTCAACGTCCCGCCCTCGATTCTCACCCTCTAGTCGATCGTCGTTCGCGGCGCAGGTGGGTGGGGAATGATTTTCACTGTCGATGCGGTGGCTGGCATCAAAAAAGCCTGAGAGTTCGGGCCGCTGACACGTATCAACTGTCACGTATCGTCCAGTACTGTACCAGAACGTCAAGAACGAAAACCCTTCGTGGTACGGAATAATCAAAAAGAGACAAAGTTCGCGTCAGGATGGTATCAAACGGAGGACCGAAATTTCACTGGGCTTGGAAGTCCGTCAGGATGACTCGAGTTGACCATGGGATCCTTTCTTGAGACCTGTCACCGCGTCGAAGGACGGGAGAGGGTTGAACGATCGGGAATGACTCGATCTCGAGGACGCTCGATTTTGTGAACTCGGATTTCTATTTGTGTCTTGAGCTTCGTATTCGACAGACGGTGAAATCGAAGATCTATGAACAGATTATACTTGTTGTTTCTTCGAAATTATTAACTTGGATCTTGGTGACTGAAGAGAGACTTTTTGACTTGAACAGATGTGAAGTCGAAGCATAGATCTACAAAATAGATTACATTTGTATTATTGAAATTGTGAATTTAGATCTTGGTGACTAGAGAGACTTTTAGACTTGAACAGACTTGAAATATAGATATATGAAACAAGTTATACTTGTTGTATTATTGAAATTGTGAACTTGGATCTTGGTGACCAAAGAGACCCTTAAACTTGGATGTGGAGGTTGATATAGATATAGAGGTTTGGATAGATTGTTATTTCATTGATATTTGTGAATTTGGATTCTGATGACTTGGAACTTTTTGATGGTCCGAGAGGAATCACAGGGATTAAAGTTGATTCTTTAAAGATTATTGAAAAAGAAAAGGAGAATTAAAGGAGGAAAAAATTGTTGAGAAGTGCAAATAGTGAAAAAGTGGTGGGGAGATTGAGAAATTGAGAACTCGAGGGCATAAGGAACCATGTTGGAATTCTACCCTCCGCTACCAGGTAGCTTGAACCGGCAGGGTGAGTCGGGTCCGCCGACTATGGGATCTGCTGCACCTCCGATTCCATTTCGTCCTGCAAATGACAATAACAATGCAGGTAAAGTCAATAATTTTCGTTTTTTTCAAATTAATGATTTTTATATTTTTATCTTTATATTTTTTAAATATAGAAAAGTATATATTTATTTGATTTAGAAAAGAATTATATTTTTTTGATTCAAAATGGTAATAATATAACTATTTTTAATTTTATTATAAACTATTTTTTTGCTGTTTTTCTATTTTCAATGTTTAATTTGCTAAAACTTTCTCTATTATCACTGTAATATAATTATTTAAAAAATATAATAATGATAAATATTACAATATTGTAGTGAACTATTAATAAATCAATTTTGATCTTTCGTGAAAAATTTCGATATAAAAATTATGCCAACATCTCAAAATAACAAATATCATAAATTTATCATATTTATTAGAAATATCAATTGATTTAAAAAATCAAGAGATAAATTTATCTGTAAACAATTTTTGTTTACAGATAAAATCATTAATAGATTATAATTATATAATAATAATAGTTAATAATTATTTTTTACTTACCAAGAATATAGTATTTTATTTATTTTAGTATTTTATAATTGAAATATATTATAATTAAAATAACTCTTTATATAAATTAAAATAACCACGTAAACAGAAAATTATTATGTGTTTTATCCCCCAATCGCTATCGACAATTGATAAGCGACGGAACAAATTTTATGAGACTCGCAATATTTCTCTGCTCTAGAATGCTATCACATTTCTCAGTCTGACAGTCATATCATTCGGCATAACTTCTGCGTATTTATTTCTTTTACGATGAAATATTCCCAGAAAAAAAATTCATGTTCAATTTCTTGTAGAATTGATTATATAATATTAAATTAAGGAATAGAAATTCTTTTGAGAAATTCTTTTTAATTTAATTAAATTTATATAAAAAGAGATGAAGTGATTTTCAACCAATATCTGCAATAAATAAATATCATAATAAATATCGATATTTCTAATAAATAAATATCATGATAAATATTGATATTTTCAATAAATAAATATCATATTAAATTTATTTAACTTAAGAGAGATATTGGAATAATTTTTATATTTTTGGAGTTTTTTTTAGAAAGTTTCAAAATAATTGATCTATCAATCGTTAATTAAATATTGTTATATTTCAAATTTATTATTTATATTTTCTGAATCATATATTATAGAAATAATAAAAATTAATTCATAAACTTACGTAAGAATTCGTTATTTTTACAAGTTCATAATTTTCCATTTTTTTTTTAAATTTTATTTGCTTATCTAAGATAAGTTTTTTGTGCTTCTAATCGAGATGCTAATAATTTATATAAATAGAACATTTACTATCAGTAATCATATATAATATCATATATAATAAAATAAGCGATAACACATTGATAAGTATTATAAATAAAGTAAACTTTGTAACATATGGACATATGAATAATATCCAACTTACATGATGTTATAGAAGGTTAATAAATAAATATAAATATTTTGTGGATATCGAATTTATCTAATTTTAGATTGTTAGTTCATAAATTTTTAGCAAATATTTCAAATTTGCCATTAGTTCAAATTTTTAGTTTATTTTTATTACAAACTTTCGTTTCCTAAATAAAAAAAAAAATAATTCAAAATAATACGAATTCAAGTTAAATAAAAACAAATTAAACTAACCTACGTAAATTCAAATCAAGTAAAAACCAATAAATAAACTAAAAAGAAATAAACCAATATCAAGTGAAATCAAATAAAAAGAAAAAACTAAATAAAAACAAATCAAATTAAATAAAAAAGGAAATAAAATAAAGAAAAATAAAAAAGACAAACCTTAATACATATTACTCAAAATATTATAAAAAAAGTTCAATTGCTGATTTCAGAGCCGTCAGTATCAGTGAAGACGGAATCAGGCCTTTTGGAAACGATTTGCGCCGGTTGCGGTCGCACCATAGTCGACAAGTACGTGATGCAAGTAGCTGGAAGAAACTACCACGAGGAATGTCTGTCATGCGCCGCATGTGCGACACCTTTAATTCATTCTTGTTTCATTCGCGAATTAAAACTCTATTGTCGGACCGACTACGAGCGGATCTTTGGAGTCAAGTGTGCACGATGCATGGAGAAGATCAGCTGCTCGGATTTCGTGTTAAGGACACCGGGTTCGGTATTTCACGTGGAGTGTTTTGCGTGTTGCATGTGCGGCCAACCATTGCCTCCTGGCGCCCATTATTTTCTACGTCAGGGACAACCGATCTGCCGAAGAGATTATGAGCACGAGTTGTACCTGAACAGTCCTCAAGGTTGGTGGATATTATGTTTTTTATATCTATTATTTTATGATGTTTTGTTGAATTTCTTTTCTTTTTATTGTGATGCTTGTATTTTCTAGCTTCTTTATTTAATTATGTTTGTATTTTATTTTGTAGTTGTTAACGTATAACAATGGCGACATCTATTAGAAACTATTGAGAAGATGTCATTAGGCGACGTCTATCGGAAGCAAAAATAATAATTTAAAATTATCTTTTGTTTTTTTTGCATTTCGTATATTTTTTTAAGAATAATATTCAAATCGAATAGAATTTCAATGTCAGCGAGATTGATTTTTCTGTTCAAAAATAAAATCTTATTATTTATTGTATTTTATTTATATAGCCAATAAATTCTTCACTTATCTATAATATTATATCTCTTATCTTCAATATTTGTTAAATTTTCTTTCTATGTATTTTGATATTTTTATTTAACTTTTTTATTTAATAATGTCTGTATTTTATAGTTATTTTTTAGCTAGTCATAATCGATATATATGTCTTGATTATGATGTTTTTATTATGATTTTTATCTTTTTTATTTTTTATTAACTAGAATTAATTTTAATTTTATATTCAGTATGATTTTTGTGATATGTTATTAAAAATTAAGATTGGTATAAGTGACATTTGTTGAATCGAGGTTGGTACAGGTATTAGAAATTTTTTATTTCTTTAATATAACTTTTGTAATATATTGTAAATTAAGATTAATATACGTGATATTTTCTATTTCTTGTTGTTTTAGTTAGTTATTTTTTTTAATTCTTGTAAATTCTTATAGTAAATATCATTTTTTATTTTTTCAATATATTTAGTTTATTTAATTTTAATGGATTGAAATTCACATAGATGGCGCTTTTTGTTCCTTTAGGATTAAAATTAGTAGAACATTTTTCATTTCATCAATATTCGTTTTATTTTTTTTGTTGTTTTATACTTACATCAAAATTAAGTGTTCTTTAAATTAATAATATAAAACCTATTTTGCATAAAGATATATTAATTATTATCTTTTATAGTATTAGCAAAATCATAGTAAGACATAAGATAAAAATATAGCATGATTGTTCAAAAAAGGTTAGTTTTCTTTTTTTTCTTTGCTTTTCTTATTTCTATTCATTTAAATTTTTTATTATCTAACTTTAATAAAATTATACAATTTTTAATTTATATTATAACTACATTAATAATTTTCTAATAATTGATTACCAAAAATAAATTAATATATCAAGTAATTGAATTTTTTAATTTGCTTAGGGATTATTTTATTCTAAGTCCTGCATGTTATTTTCTATATATCCTTTTATTTTCTTATTTTCTTTAGTTAATAAAAGATATTCCTGTTCATTATTTTATTAAAATATTACAAAATAAAATAAACTTTTAAACTGTTTTAATATTACACATAGTACGTGAATTTATAGGTATAATGTAATATAATATTCTCATAAAATCGAAATATTCGATAGCAAACTGCTCAACTATCACGATTTCTGTTTATTATCGATTTCGATAAAATCGAGATTGGCGGTTCTATATAGGAAAAAAAAAATATGTATATAGACTGACATTGTTTCAATCAAACGAAAAATTGTCAAACCTATGATTGAAAATGATGGTTTTACAAAGTTTCGTTCGTAAAATTTTTCGTGACCAAGTGCGTATTTACATTCGATTGATAGAATTATCTTCTAGAAATAAATATTTAAACAAAAATGAAAAACTAAAGGAAACAAATAAAAAATTGGAAATAAAAAAAAAATTAAGAATGATGAAATAATCGACGAAACGTGCGAGACGTATTGTACATACCTTGTTGCATTGTTCGCAGGTTGTACTACTACAATCTAAAGACATCCAAAGTAAAAACCTGCAGGAATTTCGAATCAAGGCTGTGTCTCTTTTCAAGGTAAATACTACTTAAACCAAGCATAATTAGAAATGATTCTTCCATAAATTACGAACGAAAAAATAATTGATGAAAAAAAAGAACGCCAATCTAAATATATGAGATGAAAATATTAGCATTCGTGTTTTCTCTGATTGAATATTTTTTATAATTTTTTCTTAAGTAAATGAAACTTAATTTGTTCTTAAATGTTGCATTTAATTGTTTAAAGGAAACTTGTGATGAAATCGATGGAAGAGCAGTTTGTTAGTCACGATTTTTTGGAATTATTGAATTTTTTTGAATCATTTTTTATCTATTATTATTAATATTATTTTTAAATAGTTTTTTACAGCTTTCATTTATAATTCAAATTATATTCTAGTTATCGATTGCTTTCTTTGATTTCTTTGTGTCTACATTTATTATTTTAATATTACATTAATATTATTTCAAATATTTTAATTTGAATTTTCTCAGATTTTTTTACAAATTTTTTACAAATTTTTCGTTTTAAATTATTTACTTATTTTAACAATAAATATTCTTTTTTCATTTTCTATATATTCTATCTACTCATTCTATTCCTTATTTATTTACAAAAACATCGCAAATTATATTAGTATAAAATTCAAGAAAATGAAATTAACATTAAATTATTTGCAGACGATGATTTATTGGATGATAATAGACCCCGTGATGGTCGTCGGGGGCCCAAACGACCACGGACGATTCTCACATCGGCGCAGAGACGTCAGTTCAAAGCATCGTTTGAAGTATCGCCGAAACCTTGTCGAAAAGTTCGTGAAGCTTTGGCAAAAGATACAGGTCTTAGTGTACGTGTAGTGCAAGTATGGTTCCAAAATCAGCGGGCGAAAATGAAAAAGTTACAAAGGAAAGCGAAGACCGAGCCTGGATCGGATAAAGAACCAAAGGAGGAACGTCGGACAGAAAGTCCTCATAGTGATCACAGTAAGAATTTTCATATTAATTATTATTTATTAACATTCGAATCGTTGTTGCATGTAAACATTGTTGTGAAATTGGATAGAAATTTATTTGCAGTGATTTGAATGAGAAAGGCAAATCAATTGAAATTTTGGAAGAATATCATGAACAATATATTGATGAATAAATGATAAAGTTAGATTTATTAGTGAAAGGTTGAGAGTTTAAAATGTAAGATTTTAAAGGAATGGTAATTTTATTTTCATTTTAATCATCACTGTAATATTTAAAGAATATAAAAAAATGTTTAATTATTAATTATTTAATTAATTAAAAAAAATGAAATATTTTTGTGTATCAAGATATCTTTATCTTTTTAAATAATACTATTCTTTTATTTTAGTTTAATTTATTTTGTTTTACTTCTTACTCTATTTATTCATATTCCATTAATAAAGAAGATTTTTAAACAGTTTTAATTATAAATATAAATTTATAAATATAAAAATAAATTTTTTAAATAAAATTATTAAAACTTTGTATATTATATTGCTCATTAAATTTTCTTTTCAAATTTTCTCTCTGTTACTTAAATATTGTTTACTTGTCTCTTTTAATTTTTATTACTTAAATATTCCAAATTTCTAATATGATTTTTCTTTTTTAAATTATTTTAGATTTAAATATTTAATTAGTCGAATTTTGCGAAGACTGGTTAATGGGGCCCCGATAAATATTTATTGGTACAATGCCAATCATTTGATCTCGTTCGCAGGTCATTACTTGAACGCCATGAACATGCGCGATGGGGAATCTTCTAGTTTCCCCTCAGCCACTCAACCGCTCAACCCCAATAACCCGTACTCGCCCGACGGTAAGTCTCTTCTACTTATAGAAAATCATTAAATCATTAATGTTGCAAAGATAATTTTCCAAATTCTAATGTTTGTCTATTTCATTAATTTCATCTATTTAAAATTCTTCTAAATTTTTTAAAATTATATGCATATATTTTCAGATTTAATTAAAATATTTAAAGAATTCTTCCAAAGAAAATTTCCAAAGAATCATGTCAAATATTTCAATCTATACTTTTTTAATTCTATGTCATCTAATCTCAATCCTTAATTTCAGATGCGTATCCAGGCCATTCAGGTGAGAGTTTTTGTAGCAGCGATCTGTCGTTGGATGGCACAGAAGCTGGCTTCGATATAGGTGAGAACGAAAGTGGTGGTGGCCAAGAGGGTGGTCATCAGAGTAGCAGCCATTCCCACCATGGACCGACGTCTCACGAGGCGCCCTCCTTGTCTCAGAGTTTGCACGCTGCGATTCATAATCCAATCGACAAACTGTTTATGATGCAGAGTAGTTATTTTAGTGGTGACCATGCATAATCTTTGAGAGAGAAGAGGAAAACACGAGAAAATGCGAAATAAGAGAAAAAGAAAGGAAAAGAAAAGAAGAAAATAATGTTCTCCTCTTTTTCTCGTGACTGGTTCACTCTAACCCCATCGGCGTAGCTGGTCCCTGCGCGTAATCGATGTGTCGTTAATTGCAACACTTCCTGTCTTTTGGTTCGTGATTCAAAATGCATGAAAAAGACTGTACAGCATTCTTTTTTGATTTATTTTTCTTAGATCTTAAAATAGATAGATATATTTAATCATTTATTATAAGCTTTTAAAAAAAAATTAAATCAACACAAATATAATATGTAATTAATATTTATTTTTTTATCTAGTCAAGTTAATACTTAGTTTAGTTTAAAAAAAAGTTTAATTATTAGAATATTTTATTATTTAAATTTTTTTTCCTTATTTTTTCTTTGATTTATTTCTATTTATTTTATTTATCTAGTCAGATAAATTTTGATTTATCAGGATATTTTAATTTTTATTTTTTCTTGATTCTGTGATATGCATTTATTTACTTGTTATTTTGTTATTTTGATATATTATCAAATTTTTAATTTTTATTTCTTAATTTTTGTGGGGTTCTTCTAATTTTATGATTTCATTAATAAATTTTTGAATTTTTAAGATCCAAAATTTTGTCTTTTTTAAAATGAAATTTAAAATTTAAAATTTTCATTTATTTTTAGGTAGTATTCTTAAATTTCTATCATCAACTTATTTCATTATCATATCAATTTTATTTTATTTACTATACATAATTTATTCATCGATGAGAAAAAATGCTGTACAATAGATTTTCATCAATATCGCTACAGGATTATCATTTTCAATGCTATGTCATTTAATTAAAAAAATTCTCGTGATACTAAAACGAGAGGCAAAAACATGCGAGCCTAAGATGTATCATTGTTTAGATTTAATATTAAATGATGGTGATGTACTCGGTTTCTACATATAAAATGCATCTATTTAAATGTCGATTTTATTTTTGTCAGATTATTGTTAACAAACATGATTCTGAATCGAGATTCTTCTGTATCGGTATATTTGCAAATTAAATTGCAAATATTGTGTCAAATTAATTTTGTTGATTTTTTCTGAATAATAATAATAAAATAATAATATGAAAATAAAAGACATAAATTAAATTATCTCGTGAATTAAATAAAAAATATATAAATTATTCACAAATTGGATATTTCGAGAAATTAGTATATTTAAAATTATTTAACATCTTTGAAGATAAAATTTAATAAAAGGAAAATTTAAAGACAATGCACTTTCAATAAAAGAAATAAAATAAAAAAAATTAAGATCAATGATTCAATGATTATCATTATCATATTCAATGATATATAATAGGAATCAATGATTATTAAAAAAAATTTCAATACATAAATTGACCAATTTATGGAATAAAGTTTTCACAAGTTTTTTATTTTTAAAAAATTTTTTTTAAAATTTCATGTCATTACAGTGAAAGATCTAGCTATTGCCTTTAATTTTTTTAAAGTATCATAAAAGTATTATATATTTTCTTAATTCTTTAAGAAAAAAAAAGAAAAAACATTTATGGGAAAATCGATTCAGAAAAGATTTTTAAATCATAACATTGCAATCTAAATTACAAAAAAATAATAGCCAAGCTATTAGGTTTGACAAGAAGCATTTATTAGAAACCATACGAGTTAGTGAAAATTACAATACATTGTATAAAAAAGAAACATTTTAACAATCATTGCTTTATACCCTATTATCATTTTTTATTTTATTTTTAAACATACCAAAAATATTTTAAAAAATCAATTTTTCTCGATTAAATATTAGATTATAAGTTTATTCGTTCGTTAATGAATAAATCGATAGAATCGTTAATTATAACCGTTAGATATAATTAAAGCGATAAAAAGAAGAAAAAAAATGAAGAAAAGTATAAATGTAGCATTTTACAATATTTTATATAACGAGTTGTGTCGCTAAACACCGATGTCGATAATATTAATAGTTCTCTCGATCGAATTTAAAAAAAAATTGTTTAAAGAAATATGACAATTATTAGTCATATGTAAAAAATGTTTGAGAGAAATGAATATCGAATCGAATCGCTGTTTGAATAATAAATGTTTAATTAACCTTTATACAGGCCGGGCATTCAATTTCTTAAGATTTTATTTCATATATTTATTATCTAAAAGCAACAATTTTCTTTCTTTTTTGTTTAGTTTTTTATTTGAAAATTTTAGGTTATGTAGAATTTTTATTTTTAAGAGAAAATATTATTTATTTTTATAATTACTTTTTTATTCTATAAAAGATATATTTTTTAATCAAAGCAAAAAATATTTTATTACATATAACAATTTTTCAGCAAATTATAAATTTAAAGGAACATTTATTTGTATATTTAAACAATCACAGGAGAAACATTCGAAATAAATCGGACAAGCCGGGTAAGAATAGAGATTTATTATTTATTATTATTATATTAGAAATATGACCAAAAATAAAATAAAAAATTCAAATTTAAAACATACAAGCAAAATACAGATCTTTTAAGAAAAATCTGTAAAAATATACAAAACTTGACAATCGCTTCCGATTTAAAATTCGATCAACAAATAAAAATAAACGCTTCGTAATCGCGAATCTAATTGCACTAATGTTTCCATTAATCGTGAAATCCATAAGTACAATTCTTGATTTATTTTTTATCTGAAAATTTCCAATAATATCTTAAATTAGTAACATCACGTCTAATATAACGAGCAATTTTTCTCAATTATATGTATGATTCTCATTCCAACGTACAATTATTATAATATCACTATATTTTTTAATATTCAACTGATATTTGTTTAATAATATTATAATAATATTACAAACATTTTACATTATTACATTATTTATCCGTATAAAATATTTCATAAAGCAATGAAGGTTAAAATACTATTAAACCAAAGAAAAAAATGAGATTTTTTACTGGTAATATTTTTTAAATATTTTTTAATAGTAAAATTTTTTACGTAATATATGTATATGATCTTTAATTGCAAAATTAAAAAAAATTTTAATCACTTCTTCTATAACAAAAAATTTAGGCTTTCACGATTTATGATTATTATTATTGACATAATTTGAAGTTTCTAATATAAATCATGTCCAATACATTAATATATTTATAATATATTATTAATATATTCAAAAATTTTGCCAATATTATAATTAACTTCTTTTTTCTTTATTCTCTTTATTCTTAAGACAATTAACAAATTAAAAAATTATTATTGAAACAATATAAATTTTATAAGATATAACTTCTTTTTTATCATTCTTTTTTCTCTATTTTTATCATATGAGGAATTTTTTTTATTACATAATTTTTTAAAAAACTATAATGTTAACAAAATTATAATTTTTATTGGATGTAGTTTATAAAAACTTCAAATTATAGCAACAAAATCTTTAATTATAACCTCTTATCAATTTCACCAATTAATGATATTATCCAGAAAAATCAAACAAAAAATCGATAGAAAAAAAGCACTAAATGAAATTTTAAATTTCGGTAATTAGAGACAAATTAAATAAAAATCAATGAAAATATCGAAATTTGAATTAATTAAAAAATGATTGTGCGATCGTCGTAACTCTATTAAAGCGCGAATAAACACGAAGATATTCGGGTAACTTCGTATTGCGTCGGGACTTTTCGTTCGATTTCGCGCGAACGAAGTACGAGCGCGGGAGTCGTGTGCCACGAATCTTTCGACGTGAGGTTGTGACCGATCTTTGATTTACATATTTTATTTGTATAAGTTTGTACGTGTATATATTGCATCGTGATTCGTATGATGATCCGAGTGAATTCCCGGCAGTGACGATGATACAGAAGTAGCGGTGCATCTCGTTTTTACGGTACGTTATTTCATGTTGAACTTTGAACTTTGGTTCAGCTTGCTTGATTCGTAGCCGCGAACGAATACAAAATAAGGCATTGATAATGAGCCTTTGATTGTTATTGCTGGCGTCAGTTGTCTTAACTTAGACTTTCATTCTTTTATTATCACTATTATTATTTCTCTTATTGTGTCGTTGCTTTTTTCTGTCCTGGCGTACGAATGATTCAGGCGTTGAGAGGTTATAATGATTCGCAAGAATTCATAATGATTTCTTTATGTACCGTTTAACAATTGTGTAAGATATTCATTTGATTATGAATAGTTTCGTTTTTTAATTGCTTGAGGGATAATTGCTTATTATGATATAAAAGTTATTTAAGGTGATTATAATTTGCAATTTCTTTGGCTCGGATTCAGGGTATGCAGGATACAATTGAAATAGATGGCCAAACTTTTGATTCTTTTTTAGGGATTTTTCTAAGGATTTTACATTGAAATTTGACAAGAAAGACTAGAATATATACAATTACAAATGCTATGTTTTTGGTACAGTAGTACCTATAGCTAAACATATCTTATAACTGTCTTAAATTAATCATTCTTGTGCAAAATTTCAATGTAAACAAATAAGTTTACCTACCTATTTTATTTGTTTATACCTTATGCATATATAATAGGTGATTATAAAACTGTTTTCTATCCTATATTATCTTATATTCATTAACATTAATATTTTTTAAATCGAATAGTTGATATCTATATCAGATTTGTAATATAATTATAATCGTGACTATAAATCTGTTCTTTTAATAATAATAATTTCTTTTTAATAATTGATTTCTTTAATCCTGATAACATAATTTCTGATAAGCCATTTATCTTACAATCATAGTTATATAGATATTTTTTTCTAACAAGCGTTTCTTTAATTTAGATTTTATAGTAGATAACTATATAAATTTTCTAACATTATAACTGTGATTTTAAGCTTTAAAAATGATATTTTTCTTTAAAAATATAATTCATATGTAATTCTCGATAATACAGTCTTCCTTCTATTCTATAGTCACGATTATATCTTAATTCGAAATTATATTTTCTTTTACTTTAATATATAATATGATAGTCACTGACTATACATATTTTTTTTTACTTTTATAATTACGAGTTCTCATTTTTCTCTTTTTCTTATTTTAATATCGTTTTCAATTGTCACAAAATATAAAAAAAAAAAAACAAATTTCCTTGTCAACATCTGAATCACACTGGATGTAGGAACATCCGGTAAGATGAGCATAAGTACTCGTATCACCGAGAACGAAAGAAAGACTCTCGAACGACTTCGTAAATATTCTTTTTTCATTTTCGAAAAATAATTAACGTCCATATATATATATATATCTGTAAACTCTTTCAACAATAATCAACAAATTCGATAGAAATGCAACATTCGTTTTATAAAATCTTCGATCACAGGTTTCGTTTTGTCACGATGTTTTTTTCACTTCTTTTTTATCCTTTTTTTTTTATTTATTTTTTTTCTTTTTTTAGTTTCTTTTTTCTTTGAAGAGCGCTCTATGTCCAGTGCTGGACGTTATTTAGAAATTAAAAAATGAAACATCATTATATTGAAAATTTCATCGATATAAAACAAATATTTTATCGTAAAAAAATTTTTGATATTCACAAATAGATTTTATTAATTCGTGATAGTTCCTCCCTTTCGATTTAGTTTGTAAAATTGCTCGTCTTAATTTTAATTTTCTACAATATATATATATTAATCTTACGAATTGTCTACTTAGCCTTCTATATTTATTTAAGATACTTTCGAATAAATTGAGCAACTCGAAGAATGTTTAATTCGTTTTTCTCAAAGTGCTCTCAGGCAGTGCGACTAAGGTGAACTAGGCATTTAGTCATTTACATAGGCACCGTGTTCGAGGGCATTCCTCTTTGCGAAAAAATGCGAAATATCATTAATGGACAATATTCGATCTAATATTTCTAATTCGAAAGGGAAGAATCATTAATTTCATTTTTCACAAATTTCATTACAATTTGTAATTTCACAAATACGATTAGAATTAAATTTGAATAGAAAAATCTTAAAGAAAAGTAAACATTAAGATTTACATTTCGGTTCCTATATTCGTTTCATTTTTTTATAAAACGCTATTATTTTAATTAGTCACTATCAAGGAACAAACAGCAACGATTAAATTAATAAATTTATCCAACACTCTGCAAAATCAAACTCCAAGCAATTAAAATTCTCCATTAATCGTGTTTCTTTTATCCAACACTGCACGACTCTCCATCTTAATAAAACATCTAAACTCGGTCTACGTGCACTAAGAGAAGCATTTCCAGAATGCACTCTCGCGATTTTCCACTAAAAGAAAGACTTCCAGCCGCTTTGGAGGTACCTGACTACCTAAAAAGGCGCCGCTCATTAAGCTATAAAACTGTGACGAAGCCTCGTCCTCGATACTCGAACAAGCGTGTCCAAACTGGTTTTTTTTTTTCATTTAACCCTTCTGCTCTTCTCTCATCCCCATCTATCTGCCATCCTTCGATCGTTCTTGAATTGACATCGATCGAAGGCCTCACTTGAAGTTTATTATGTCGACCATGCTCACGTATGTGCCGACCACAAGACCTAGGAGACCGAATATGATTAGCAAGAGATTTTTTACAAGCATGATCATGCAGGGACCCAAGTCACGGTCTGGCCAGAGGACGCAGATCTCGATGATCGCTGGAAACGCGATGCCAAGAGCGGAGAGGCAGAGGGCGCCGAATAGAGAGATGAAGAGACTCAGTCTGGGAACGGTGATGGCCAATGTAACTATAAGAAGTATGTAACTATAAGAAGATGATTTTGAATATTATAAGATAGAAGGAATTGTTTTTAGAAAGATAGAGAGATATAGAAAAAGAAGAAATAGAAGGGATGAAGAAATCTTGTTTGGGGATGGTGATGGCCAATGTGATTGTGAAGAGGAAGATTTTATATTTTGTATAAAGTGAGGTAAAGAAAAGCTAATTTAATAAGATAATTATAAGAGAAGAAAGAGATATAGAATTGTATGTTTTTAGGAATAGGATAAAGTTAAGAGAATTAAATATCAAGAGAGAATAGAGAATGATGAATAAGAGGATGAAAAAGACTTGGTGCAAGGATAATGATGATCAATTTGATTACAAGAAGATTGATATTGTAATAAATGAAGAGATATATAGGATTGTAAAAGAAGAAATAAAGAGTGTATAATATAGAGATGAAGAAATTGCATCATATTTCTATGTTATTAACTTTAAGTGTAACATTAATCACATAAAAAGCATATTAATCAAGAAACTTACACGTGCTCAAAGTGATGATAGTTCGACAAACATACTCCCAGAAGATTTTTCTCTTCTGTATCTTTTGATCCAGATAAGTATTCCAAATAATATCGACTGGAACATATCCTTGAAGAGCATGCGTGATAAAAATAGCTATTGCGAACATTATTTTGATACTTTGTGCCATACTGTAATGCAAAAATCATAGTTAGATTCACGATAACAATATTTTTTTAACAAAAATAAATATACAACAAATATCACTTACATTTCTTTGGAGGGTAAATTAAAAGTAACGCTACCCTCAACATCGGATCCATATTTTATATAACCAAAGAATCCCATGACAATGTAAAGAGTCACTATAACTGTCATTCCTATGTTCAATACACCACAGTATCCTCCAAAATATTGTGGTGTTTTCATATTGTTCTCCAGTGCGATAATCTGCAATGGAAGAATAGGTTTTATATCGATATTTATTTAAATTTTCATAGGATAAAAAAATAAAAGCTAAATTTAAAAAATTTGAAAATTGAATGAATATTATATTGTATTAATTAATTAATATCGATTTTATAGTTTATTTTTTTTTTTTTTAATAATTATAGAAATCAAGATTGCTGTTAATATACCTATAAGATTCTTTATTAAAGTAATAAATACTTTCTTATCTATCATAGATAGCAATTGTACGTATCTTAAATCTGAATTATTCGTCAATTGACTCTATTTCATTCCTTGTTATTCTGCAAAATTAAAACGATCAATTTCATTTTAATACTTAAATATCCAGGTTATCTAGAAGAAATTTTCTAAATTTCATTAGCTTATACATTTATTACTTGTACAATAATTATCAAATATTTGATAGGATATATTTTTTCTATCTAAATATATAACAGAAGAAATTCTTGAAAAAAATCAATATTAAACAAGAAAAAGAAAATATTCTCTAAAGTTTTTTTTTATAATTTTCAATTAAATTCCAAATTTCATAATCATATCTTTAATTAAAAACAATGTGTACAGGATGTTGGGGATCAAGAAAAGTTTGAGGATCACTGGAATCTTGGACGCAGGCTGAGAACTTCTGGGAAATAATAGCAGGGATTGCATTGACGCATTCACGATCTGATCACCACAATCTCAAAGTTGTTCCGTAAGTGGCCATTTATTTGTTTATTAACGATGCGGCGGCGTCGTCGATCTATTCTAAGCTCAGGCAAACTCGTTTCTGCCTAACAGTCACGGGGAATGATCGACGAGGCCAAATGATAGATCGATCGAGGGTAAAATTGAAAAACTAATGCGAGATATTGTTCTAAATTGCGCGTACGTGTGTCGAAGTTGGAAATATTCCGTCGATGTTTCTTTCGGTCACGTGTACGTTTCTATGGACGAGAACAAATCATATTTGTTTCGTTTAATAATGTTTCTTTCTTCTTCTTCTTCTTCTTCTTCTTTTTCTTCTTTTTCTTCTTTTTTTTTTTTACGATACGAGAAATAATTTTATTAATTGTTTTAATTATGCTTGAAATTTGAGGGTTGTTTTACATAATTTAGATTAATTTAGATTATTCAATGGAATACTTAAAAATTATTTTGAATAAATAAATGGAATTGAAAAGATTTCATTCATAATAAATACCAGTTTTTAATAATTGCAAGTGTACAAGATGAAATTAGTAATCATATTATTGATATAGATTGAAATTGTCATTTTCTGGTCATTTCGATAGACTTCTACTAATTTCTATGAATCATAGTTACCTCTTCAAGTAGAAAAGTAATTTATTATAACTTAAACGATAAAAACAAAGCAAAGAGATGAGAAGAAGGAACGAGATTAAACTTACCACGCCAACGGCCTCCAACGCGAATAACGTTGTACCGAAATAGAGAGAGAAATTTCTCAGTGTGCCAAACATCTCTCTTTCCTTAAGGGAGGGTAGATCCTTAAACATGTAAACTAGAATCATCGTCAATCCGACAAATGTGATTACATTCGCGACGGTGGAGAATGGCGCGAGTAACTTGAGGTTCCTAATGTAATTGATCAGAATCAATGGTACCAATAAGATCAGCATGTGGGTCTCAACGTCCAATGGTTCCCAATACTGGTCTGCTACCTGTATTTAACACAACAGAAAAACAAAAAAAAAAAAAAAATACCCACGATCAATAAATTTGGAACAATTATTCTAAAGATGTTATTTTTCTCTCTTTTTTTTTTTCTTAAATTATTTATTAATTTTATTTATTAATATACGACGATATTATTACGAATTTAATAATATTTATTTATAATATTTTTTAACGATGATTACTATGGACATTTTTTTTTTTTTTTTTTTTATTTTCATACTTCCTTTTTTAATTCGGTACATGTTCGTTCGTTGCTTAGTTTAGATGATTGATATTTTGTTTCTTTTTTTCTTCTTCTTTTCTTTTTTGCGAGAAAGATTTATAAATTGATTCTTCGCCATTTTTTTTTTTTTTTTTTTTTTTTTGGCGACAGAATTGATCTATGGCGCCTGCTATTTACCTGCTTGATATTCGACGCTACAAATACGATATAAACGCAGCATATTCCCAATTGATACACAATCATGAACCCGTCTACGAGTCCTCTGCAAATATAATAGCAACTTTCATGTAACAATTGAAAAAATTATTGTCGAGGCCGCTTGGTGAAGTGATTTTGTGCGTGCGTTGTGTGATTGTGATAATTTGGTCGATCTTTGTGAATGAGGGAAGAATATTCTTTTTTTTTCTCTATCTCTCTCTTTCTATCTTATATTAATCGTTAATGATTATCGTTATATTACATTAGAAAGAAATATCAAAGTAATTATAATTAAAGATGCGTATAACAATCACAGATGGGATGAGATAATAATATTCGAAGATGTTATAGAAATGTCATTTATTATCGTGGAAAATGAAAAGGATAATTAATTTTGTTTATTATTAACGAAGAAATTTAGAATTCCTAGAATAAGATAATATTTCAAATTTCTTTTTCTCTTTTTATAAAGTCACCGATATAATTAAACATTATATCAAATATTATTTTATATATATATAGATTTTTAGCAATCTGTATTAATATAAATTCAATTTTTAAGAAAAAATGCATATAGCTAACTTATTCTGTTCTATTAAACTCTTTTCGATTGTTTATTTATCTTTCGATAAATAGTGCTACTTAAAACTGCAATAATACTACTTAAGACTATTGTAATAAGTAGAATCAATCGATTATAATCAGACGATGATTTCTCGTCTGCCCCCAATTAATTTCTTCGATTTTCGACTGAAAAAGATATTTTATCAGTTTGGATAAAATGTTTTTATCTAATCTTCGAGAAAATTCAAAAGAATTACAATATAAAATTTTGCACTGGAATAAAATAAATATCACATTTGGCATAAACGAAAAAGGATATCTTAGCCAATTCAATAACATCTTAATTTTTCTCAATATCTTACATTATTTGAAATAATAAAAAAAAAAACTTGTATCACGCACAGAAACTATTTCTAGAAATCTTCTCATTTTTTTCATTTTTTTTCATTTTTATTATTAAATAATTTAAGAAATTATTCCAAAGAATTTTTGTTTTTATTTTATTAGAATATAATAATTACTATCGTAATTATATTGAATTTGAACTGATAGTAAATTTTTATATATTAAAAATTCATCTATTTTTATCACTCTATCAGGCAATCAAATTTAAAAAAAAATTCTTGCAATTCTACAAAATAATAAAATGTGTATTGGAACGAAATATAATTATTAATGAAATTTCAAGCGAGATGATCATTGATTCCGATCTTCATCATATTTTTTATAATATTTGAAATTTTTAATTTCTAATAATGGGTTAAACTTCGAGTGGAAACAACTAATGAAGAAAAAAAAAAAAATTCGCAAGCTTATGTCAATGAATGAGTGAGTACATGTATGAGTGTCTGTACATGGGGTCTGCAACTTATATACTTACGGTGCATAGGGTGCGAACCATCGGACACACCCAGGCCCTTCCTCGAGAGCGTATTTCATGCTCAGTGGATAACTCAATATAGGAACTCTTAACCGTTTACACAGTTTGTACTGAGCTTTCACTAATACGTGCAAACAATAGGTGCACAGCACCCCTATGATCACTGTTGCTATCACACCGGTGACCAGGCCACTGTTGCGGAACGCGTTCGGCATCGCTAGAATACCGGTACCCAAACTTCCTTTCAACAAATGTATCAAAGTCTCTGCGTTCCTGCAAATTAAAATTTATAGAAAGAGGAAAAAATACGAGAGAGAAAAGAAGGTGAAGGTGTTTGAAAGGTGTTTTTTTCGTAAGTTAAAATTCATCGAGGTTTAATAATAATCCTTTCCCTGAATTAAAATTAATTTAGGTATTATTTTTGACAAATATTGCTTTTAACATTGGATTCGAAATTATAAAATTATAATATAATTATAATATAAAAGTTTGAGAGTTCGTTTAATAAATTTGTTTGAGCGTATCTGAGAATAGCGTTTGAATAAAAAAAAATATCTTATCTTTAAGTGGCTTATGAAATTTACTTGAATTGTGTGCAAGTGAGTATGATACAATTCTTATATAATAGAGATTACAGGAAATAACGAGATATGAGAGGCTACGTTCCATTCTTATGCATATCTAAAAATATGATGTAATTTTAAACATCTGTGATAAATATCTGTGACTATGTTCGAAGTAAAAAAAAAAAAAAAAAAAGAAAAAGAAAAAAATAATAAAAAAGAAAGAAAGAAATTATTTTTTACCTATATTTAAGCGATAAATTTGTTTTTTATTAAAAATTAGAAATACTCACGATGTCGGATTTGGCCTATTTCGATGTTTGTGGGGATCGTAGTCTTCTACGTTTGTGGTCTGCGATATTGGGACTTCCGATGCATTTAGACCACTTCCGGCGATTTCATTATTAACTCTGCAACCGCATCAATTTGCAAATGCAATCTACATCCCCGTGCTTTTATGCATATCGAATTTTTGAAACATTGTGATACATCTATCGTGATGATAACATTTGATATCATCACGCGTTTGAATTGTCCCGAATTATAATTAAAAAAATAAAATTGAAGTAAATAAATAGAAAAGGAAGAAATATATTTATATACGATAATGAACTTGGAAAATGAGAATATAACGCTTTTAAATTCTTTTCGAGAATTAATAAGTGGAATCAGACGTACTTGTACGGACTTTCGGAACCGATCAGCTGCATGTTTATCGTCTCCTCCTTCGCGTTCTCCATTTTGTTTGTTGCTTAATCTTCTATATTTTTCATGGGGAAAGAAAAATTTAATCGAATCAGATATAATATAAATATAACTATCGAATTATATAGAAGGTAAAAAAGAAATTATTTTTTACATTTTTCTAGTTTTTCTTTTATACATATATTTATATAAATTGAAAGCGACATCTCAATTTTAATTACGAATTTTATCATATCACGATTGTCGTTAATTTATATTTATTCGTAGCACGATAAGTTAGCTTTCCTTTTTTTTTTTTCCAATTGAAAGAAATAATATTAAAGAATTAAACATTTGTTCATTTTTATAAAAAAAAAAAATATCCATTTATAGAGGGTTAAATACTTTCATGAGTCACATAAGTACCATTATAACAACTCTTCTTCACTCGCTACCTCCCCTCTTCCAATCAACCCATGCGTAACACTCAATGCGACTCATTCAGCACGAACGAGACATAGGAAAATTCCCAGCCACGAATGTACCATCTCATTCTCCATCTTCTCTATAGTAATTCAAATGAAACGATAGGCAAGCAGGCAAGGAACACCGTGAGAAACGGTGATAGGACTGAATTTCCTTTTTGCAACTTTTTTTTTTTTTTTTTAATTTTTATCCTATAACAATACTCGATGAACAAAGACTTGAAATATTTTTAATTAAAGTTATATCAACTCGGAACTTTATCTTCAATTTATATTAAAATTTTTATTGTATCTCGATTGAAAATATTCGAAGATATAGATATACCAAATTTATCAGATAGATTTAATTAAACCAGATCAAAATTCTCGTTATATTTTCCGATATTATTCAATAATGGTAATTAAGAAAAAAAACAAAATATATTGCATTAAACCTTTGCATTTCTAAATTTTTTGTTTCGTCTCTATTCATCATATACTATCGAAAATATATATATATATATAAAAAAAAAAATAACAAAGTCACGTGGAGAATTAGGATCCTGGAACGCGGAAGCGATGATGTATATATTGGAAGCGCGTCAGGATCAAAGGCACGACCTAGATATCGGTGCAGCAAGGCTCCTGATCAATTGGCGGATATGGAGCAAGCGATACGATACGATACGATACGATAAAAATGGCAATTCATCATTGCGAATCTGTTCGGATCCGCGTGTCTACGCGTGTAGCTTTAGCACATTCTTTCGCGAACTGATTGCTCTTAATTATTGCATTGAGGTCAAATGTGTAGTTAACTTACTGAAGGTTATACATAGCAACCGTACGTTTTCACTTCATCGTTTGCCAACCTACCAATTGATCCGTGCTCGAAGAACGAACGCCGCCCGAACCGATACCGAAACGTCTTGCGCATTTTTACCTCTCTTGGTCGTTTCGAAATTTCGAAAAAGTTTATTTATCGAGATTATTTATCTTCTTAAAAAAGATCATGGACGGAGATATGTATGATTGTTCGAAATTTTAAAGATCAAGAGCGAGGGGATGATCTCTCCATGGATGGAAGAATGTAATTGGAATTTGTTTTGTGTTTTCTTTTTTATTATTATTATTAGGAATGTTAGTAGAAGGATTGATTTTTACATGGTGATTTACGTTGGATGTTTCATTTGAAAAAGTGATCGATGAAGGGTGGATGTAGATGAGTGTTAATTGAGACGATATTCTGTTTCGAGTTTTTAGTTACTTTTGTAGAGAAATCAGGGTTAATAGAATATATATTTTATTGGACGTGAAATCACGATTTCGCGTGAGCTCTTCGAAAAGCGAAAGCATGCAGAAATAAGGAAATCATTATCTAATTATCATATGAAGCGCACAGAATAGAGGCTAAAATGCTTGAACCAGTGCACGATTTCCTTTTGATTGAATAATGATCATGCGTGAAGATCGGTGTGGTTAAAAGTCGGTAAGTAAACGACCTAGGATCTCTTCCTAGAAATTTAAAAAAAAAGGAAAGAAACTAAGAAAAAAATCATAACTTTCCAATTATTTATTATTCCCACAATTATCCCAAATAAGCTCGAGATTTTATTTCCCCCTCTCAAAATTTCATAAATTGATTGATTAAAAATTAAATTCCCTTTAATCAATTACCCTTCCAATGTTTCAATCATTTTGATATTGATAAAAATCCAATATAACAGGGGAAGATGTTGATAAGAAATGGCAAATATTTTAAAATATTTAAAAAAAAAAAAAAGAAAAATCAAGACTTATTAAATATTTTACGTAAACTTTCCAAGGGTTGTCGTTAATCGACGCGGCAAAATATCAACGATCATAAAAAATAAAATTATTAACCCTGTTCATCGAGCTAAAAATATTTTCTACCTCGTGATAAGCACCATTGACACGATTAAGAGCGCCGAATTTAACTCTATCACGCAAGATGAGTGATATCAATCCGCATGTAGGATAATTTTGCATTTAATTGAGATAAAAATCGATGAAAAGAATCGATTAAAAAAAAGGAGTATACAGTTTTTGTTGTCTTGTCAGGGGGAAGAGGGTTAAATCGTCAATGCGTACAAATTGGATAGCGTAATTTTCTAAACATGATTGAAAAGTATACCTTGCATACCAATTGCTGTTTGCGCTGTCAGTTACGATTAGTTGATTATCAAATCAACTGCAAGTCTGTCTCTAAAGTCAGTAATACAACTTGTTCGATTATATTAACGCTTAGATGTTGTTGTTGTGTGTTTTCGTTAAATCGAACAATAAGTTTTAATTTAAATTCGATTAAGAAGAAAATTATATCGAAAAAATTGTAAATTTTGGAAGAAAGGGTTAAGGAAGGGTTAAGTCTTCTGTTTAATCAAATTTCGTGTACGTGGAAATTTATTGAACGTTGGAAAATTTGGAATAATTAGAAACATGATATAATATATAAATATTTGAGGGATGAATATTAATTTTAACTCACCTTATCACGCCACAAATAAAGATTGTTTTTTCCTTAAAAAATTCTGACTACTGCGTTTGCTGATTTCCTTCGGTGGTCGCTGATTTCTCCTGTAAAACGTAAAAATTCATTCTATCTTTTTAATACAAACGATTGAATTTAATTTCGTAAGATGTAAATTGGGGAAATTTAAATTTACTCTTCAGCTAATTATTTATTATTCCTGGTCGACTTGTGGCAAGTCGTAAGTTTGCACTTGCTATTCAGATTAAGCACAATTAAAACTTCCTTCTGGAGTGTTAAATTTCAAACTTCCTCCAGCTTACGAAAAAGATCACTCATCACACAATTCATTATTCATTCGATAACCAAATCTTTATAATTGCTCGTTCGATAGTTCAAATTAAGAAGATATAATCTACACCTCGTCCATCATATTTCCTTCGTATTCCAAATTTCACTTTATTTTTAACAATTATTTCCAGCAACTTATATTCTTTCATTTAAAAAAAAAACGTGTAATATAAAATGTCCTAAAAAAATTTTTTTCTCTTCCATAGAAGTACGTACTTTTAAGATTGAATTAATCGAAATAGGTAATTGCGAGTAGCAATTGAGAGAGAGGGATAAATGGCGTCACCTTTGATTACTTAAGCAACGCCCTCGCATCAAATGCTGTGCAAAGCAGCTTAAGTATAGTAATCGATCTCCTAATTCTTACTTCCTCGGAACGCTTTAGGGGAACATGACGGCTCGTGAACGCTCACCATCGAAACAATGTCACTTGGAATATATTTACGCGTCTAATTTTAGATGTAGAAACAATTTTCTGACCTCCCGATGAATGATCCACCCCATAACCATCTGATGATCCTCGCATGAAATTGAAAAATTTTTGAATTAGAAAAATGGGAAAGGATAACGATTTGTAAGTGATTTATATTCGAGGATATCGATAAATTTGAGTTTATTTGGAATGAAGGATAGGATAGGAGAAAAGAAAATTTTTTAATGAAGTTTGAATGTGATTAAATTGTAATAGATAAATGTGGATGATTCTTTTATTATTGATAAAAAAAAAGAGAGAGAGAAGAGATCGAAGAATCGAATTAATTAATAGATAATGGAAAATAATAAATAAGAGAAAATAATGATAATTTTTGGAAATCACGACGATGTTTCCTCGACGTTTTCAACGAGATTTCTATCGAATGATCCCTATTTTTCGTCGCAAATATAGTAAAGTAAGGGTTATTAAGATTGATGATGAGAGAAGCGTTATGCAATAGTTGAACCGTTTGTTCGTTCCAATTGGCGTAACATCGTATTGACTACCGATTATCTTTCTTGGAATAATCGATTAAAATAATCGTATCACGGTTAAGATGAAATTTTTAAAAGATCACGATCGTTTGTAAAATGGAAATTCATTTTTTCATAAAGGAAGAAAGAAAGGACAATTTTTCATTCACACAGCATGATTTAAATAAAAGACAGATCAAAATTATGAAGAAGCGTAATCGTGGCGTAATTTTTAATGGTGAATTTTAAAATGAATGAAATTAAATACAATTTTGAATAAGAATAAAGAATTTTATTTTATTTTTTCACAAATGAATTAAAATAATTTATCGAAAATGAATAGAAATAGAAAATAGAAAAATAAATGATAATAGTTGTATCAATATTAAAAAAAAAAAAAAAGAAAAACGAGATTATAAAAGATGATATTAACACAATGGAAGAATTTTAATAATTATTTTTTTATTTATTATCAATCGTGAATTAAGATAAAAATTGCAACAACTTTAATACAATTTTATATTTCACGTTCATCAATTACCGTTTATAGCGTTTTTATTGGGGTGCTAATACAATCTATATATTCATACACGTACACATTCTACTCTAATTCTCTATAATCGTACGATGTTACCGATACACCATTCTATTTAAGATTCAATTTAATATCATCATCATCAGAGTTTTTTTTTTCTCTCTGACTCTTTGTGTATTACTAGTTTAATTCTTCGTGTCAATTTTCAATACGATCAATCTGTTATAATTGAATTTAAAAAAAAAAATTCGTTAAAGCATTGAGAAAAAAGAAGAAGAAGAATTTCACCAATTTAATAATCAAATCTTCTCAAAATAATGTCATTCTTAATTTCGTAAAATTATTATATTAATTTCAGAGAATCCTTTTTTTTTTCAAAATTTGACGTTTATATAATTGCCAATTTCTTATCAAAATTCGTGCAATTACATAAAAATAAACAAATTACAATTATCTTCCAAATTGAAAGATCATTGTCAATTTTTTCTTTCCGTAATACGTATAAATCTATCGATACTTATAAACACATTATAAGTCATCGATTAATCACACCAATTAATCCAATAATTAAACACAAATTTCACTTACTTTCCAAAACTTTTTCAAAAAAAAAAAAAAAATTAAATACATCCCCTATAAATCCCTCAACGAAAATCAAAAACCACGCATTATGTAAAATTCAAGAACATTTTCTCCAATCGAAACAAATTCTTCCACAACTCTTCAGCAACAATGAGAAGTATATTTATCGAACAATAAGAACGAGGAAAAAATTACTTTGGAGTAGAGGACTAATGAAATACGATTCAATTCTAGACTCACCAGATGAAACACATCCGCAGCGAGGGAAAGCGAAAAATGTGTGGACCCAGTCGGATAACCACTTGCACCGTGGTCCTCTTTAATGTGGACGGGCCAGAGGATGTCTAGCGACTGGTAAATCGCGGAACATTTCAATTTCCAACGCGACTTGGACATCACGTGACACAAGTTGGAAACTACGCCTCTGGCATGGGGACAGAAGGGATTCAGAAGCGACGAGGATGGGGCGCCAGTTCGCCCGTTGCTCCGGAACAGGCAGCAATATTTTCATAGAATATTTTCTTTTTTTTTTTTCGTGGAAGAATATTTTTTGGTTCTTATCTGAGATTTATCGAAGGATCGGTGAAGTTTGATGAGATAAGAAGAAAAGCTATTTTCTAAGATGGAGGAGAATATACTTTGGAAATTGGAAATTGGAATTCAAGATGAAGTTTGAGGTTTGGAGATTTGTTTGAAATTATTTGGTGGAGATTAAGGTGAAGTTGGGGAATATTTGGATACTTTTGAGGATTTGAATATGGTATGGGATGAAGTTTAGATAATTTGAAGATTTGAATTCGGTGTGGAATGGATTTTGGATCCATTTTGGAATTTGAGATTTTAAATTGTACTTTTGATTTGGTGTTGAAAGCTTGAACTTTAAGAAATTTGGATTTCTGTATTTGAAAATTAAGATTTTTGTAATATTAAAATTTAGAAAATGGATTTAAACTTTGATAATTTGCTCCTATACTTTGAACTTTGAATTTCAAAGTCTTTTTTCACTTTAATGATTCAATTCTTCTTTATTAAAAGTGAGATTGATTAACTTCAATTAAAACAATCAATAGTCACAAAGAAACATGATTTATCCTTCAGGAAGGATCCTTCACAAAGGATTTTCAAGGATGTTCATAAAAGAAGACATGTGCACAGATTTGGCGATGAGAATCATATAAATATCTATTAACCGTCAACTTTGGTAGAGAACGTATCGATTGACCCACAAAGGGGATCACAATCATGCGAACGCCGAACAGAAATTATAAAGATTGCCATTTATTAAAGGTAACAAGCCCGTTGAAAGACACTTTACATCCCAATATTCCTTGCTATCTTTTATAATTTATTTAATTAAATTAAATTAATAACTAAGTTAATCCAAAGTACTATAATTATTTCTGATTTGAACGAGTTAATAATAATTAATATTTAAATATTTCATTTCATATCAATGAATATCAATAATCTTTCTATCCATTAAAATATAAAAAATATAAGAATTATAAAATTATATTTCTCAGGATGTGATTAGTATAATCTAAATTATAATCAGCTATCATTTAATGATAGAAATTATAATAGGAGTTATTAAAATTTCATAATTTTAAACAAGTGAAAGATAACCGTGTAAGAATGACATTAATATTATCAATAAATTTGATGATGAATAAAAAAAAAAATAGCAGGTTTCTTTTTCTTTGATATATACGTTATATTATAATGGTATGAATCTGTCATTGTCACAATTATTTGCGTGGACAAACGATAAATAAATCAGGCATAGTGTGATGCATGAAGAGAATATATCGATCGTCAAGGATGTGTATATGCCAGAAGTATTATCGGTCACTTAGCTCGTTCTGATCTTTCTTTGGATTATTAATAATTATTATTTCAATCAATGTTTCTTAAAGCAATAAAAATTTCCATAAAAGAAATTTGCTAAATATATATTTATTCATAGAATGAAATAAAATATATTAAATAAAGGATAATCAAAGTACAGCAAGTAATAATTAATTTTTTTATTTACCAAATATTTTGAATATTGCGTTAAAAGTATACAAAATATCTGAAATATTCACTTTAACATTTAATGAGTGAGATAAAAATACTGAAAGGAAAAATAAATAAATAAATTTTATAGAAATTTTTATTGCTTTAAGATTCATAATAAAATATTTTTTTGACATATCTTCTAAAAGATTATTTTCTTTAATCTAAAAGATTAAAACAAGTAAAGATTAAAATGTCTAAAAAGAAAGATTTACCTTTCTTTTTTTTTTTTAATATCACTAAGTAGAATACTAGAACACAACAAGTTTCCAAGAATACTTACTGTTCATCCTCTTGAGATATGAAAGAAGAAAGACTGAGTCTCACAATTGACTAGATAAAAGGAAACGAGTAAACAATTTTCAACGACACGAGATTCAAAGAAGGTACTCAATGTGCACCCACTTCTGCACCATTGACAACCCTTATATATAGGTACGCGTTATATAATCAACTACGTCTGATTATAAATCGAAAAATAAATCTCATATTCGAAACACATTGAGATTCGTTTCTAAAAATATTCTTATTGGAAAAGAAAAAAATTGCATTTGAATCATTATACTACAATCACAATTTTCTATTCACAATTCAATTTTCAATTCATACTTTACATTGATCCATAACATACTCCATTCTCATCGTGGAAATCGACATATCGAATGTCTTTACAACTTTGTAAGTGTTATTAAAAATCTCTTGAACTATTTTTTTTTCCATGTCTGTACAGCAATATTCCTTTCGATTTATCAATAGTTCAAACTCTGCTTACTATTCTTATCTTATTTTAATTTTTATGACTAACAATTTTACCAATTTTCACACATAATTTTGACACTCAAAAAAACTGCAATCAGAATTAAATTTACATCAAGTTCAAAGTGACAATATTACAACTTGCATCGAATATCGAATATCGAATTTCACTCATAAATTTAAAAATCTGAGTATCACACTCCTTGAATCACAATCTCCCAAAACCACTTGGAAATAAAAATCAACTTTATACACACCAACTTCATTCAACACAGAAAGATCATCTGTTTAAATTCAACCCACTCTTCCTATGATGCACCATGTCTCGAACAGTCGTGATGCACGAGGATCGAAAGAGGAATTGACAAGAGAATTTTCTCTCGAGGACTTACGTTGGACTTACGTTCGCTTTTGGGACGGAAAGACGTGCCGACCCACCGATCAGGAACACGAGGAGGGCGTGTGTGCTGGCCGCACACATACGGAACGACCTCTTATCGACATGGGGTCACGTGCGACGAGGAACTGTCCGCAACGGGGTTGTTTCGAAGTATGCGGGGGCAGCTACCCCGATAGCGATCCATACGACCGTGGCAAGACGTCTCATGGCGTCTGCGTCGAAATCCACCACCCTCCACCTCCTCCTCCTCCTCCTCCTCCTCCCCCAGTCGCTGTAACCCGCAACGCTCTTTCATTGTAATATAAGACGCGTTTATATTGTTTTGTCGAAGATGGAATGATTCGTAAAAAAAAAATAAAAAAAATAAAAAAAATAAAAGAAACTTGGAGAGGATTGAAAGAAGGGAAGAGAGGGGGTTTAAATTAGAATATATCTGTTATTTGAAGTGAAGTTTTCAAGTTTGGAGGATGGGAGATTTATCGAATTGAAGGAAATTTTGGAAATAAGAAATTCTTATTTGTACAAACGTTGATTGTCACAAGAAATTTTATTTCATGGCTACAAATCATAATATCTTCTGCAGTAAAGTAGATAAAAAAAAAAAAAAAAAAACAAGAGGGTTTTTCTTTTTCTTTATAATCCGTTTACTATAATTTATATATTAATCTTCGACGATTTAACTTTATTTAGTTTTTTACGAAGGAAGACGTATTTTATACGTTACCCTGCTTAGTTATGTAATATAAAAAGAAGAGAAAAAAAGAAAATAACGTGTTCCAGATTAATATTTTTTTTTATCATACGCAAATAAATAATTTAATAATATTACATAATTAAAAACCGAGAGATTTCGTTCTTTCGCGATATTCATTATTATTTCCTTATTATTACAACTTTCTCTTTTTCTTTTTTTTTTCCTTTTTTTTTTTTTTTTTGTACATCATCGTCCGTATCAAATTTCATGATCATCCTAATCCACAATATTCTCTATATTCAGTTATATACATATGTATCGTCTATATAAAAAAAAAAAAAAAATTCCATTGAAATATCATTCCTTGTTTCCTCGCCAATTAATCGATTGACCAATTATATTTCAGAAACAATTTCATGCATGCATCCTTTGTCATCGCAACAAAGAACCATGGACGGAATGATATTTCTGACATTATTATTATTATTATTATTATTATTATTATTATTATTATTATTATTATTGTTATTGTTATTGTTATTGTTATTATTACAAATTTACAATGTCGCTTTGAAGAAAATGATAGTCTTGAATAAAAAATGAAATGATGTTGCATGCCGAAATTTTCTCAAAATGTCACAAGAACACATTTCATTTTTCAGTCATCGATCCTTACGTTTAGATGAGAATTATAACGGTCAGAACACATCAACTTAATCGTTTAAATAATCGTTTTTTATAACCACTTAACGTACAAGAATCTATTGATGTTCGACTATTGATGTTTCATCGATTTAATCCATTTTACAATTTTACTATATGATGAACCATCATTGCGTATGACGTTCATCAATACTGCTAATACCAACATATAGATATATGAGAAATTTTAGCTTCTTTTTTTTACAAAAAAAAAAAAAATAATAATAATAATCAACCAATGCATATCGTGTATCACGAGAGAGATGATAGATGATTTTAAAAAAATAATAATCAATGTATATTGTATCAAATTTAGTTATTAAAAGCAATAACTAACTGTACTTATGCCACAATATACAATAGATTTTTTTTTGATAATCTTATCGCTCGAACGATAGATTTCAACTTTTTAAAAACATGTAACTGTGTTACAACGCGATGCATTTATCACACCAGCCCAGAAATCGTAATTGCCAAAAATTAATTAATTTTTGCCAAATTACCGACCGTCGATCATAATTAATACATACGTATACGTTAAGGGGTTAAAAAAGGTCGAGCTGCACTTCTCGAGTCTGCCTCCTCCATGTATCATAAATACAACAAAATTTTACCCGCGATCTATATATAATCTCTAACCGATCGATCGTATATCGAAATATCGCTCGTGTCTTCGAATAAGAAATTCCGTGATCAGTGGTCGGAGGCACGGTTAGTAATAAACGAAAACGATTAAAAAAAAAAAAAAAAAAAAAAAAAAAAAAGTTTTTTGTCAGACGATATACTACTACTCGATATTTATATTTTACAATAAGTCGTATCTCGAACACAAATGTATCGTCGAATCAGACACACCAGGCGTCGCCCTTTTTCTATCTTTTTCCACTTACGAACTATTATATTCCGACTATTTAATCACGCGATCAACGCATATATCATCATTATTTCTTTATTCTTTTTTTTTTTTCTCTCTTTTTCTTTTAAATACGGAAGGAGAGGAAAACAAACGTGTTCTCCATCGACGAGAATAAAATAAGATTCGAAACGTGGCTGGTTTAGACTCATTTCCAAACTCAGTCCAATAGATAGATCGCTTAAAGTTCGATTAAACGGCTAAACTTCACTATCACATTTCCTCCCTCTCTCGTCACGAACGAATCCCTCCATTTCCCCTCTCCGTCCCTCCTTCCTTCTCCCTTTCTCTTCTCCTTGCTCCTCCTCCCTTTCTTGTTGCCCGTCACGCATCGCTCTCCCCTCATCGACCCTTTCAGTACACCACCTCCAAGGTGCACGGTTCATGAGAAGGTCTTGATGATGTCACGAAGGCTGGTGTAGGTGCCAACTATCAGACCGAGAATCCCGAAAAGTACCAAAGACATGTTCTTCGCGACCATTATTGACCTCTCCGTTCTGTCGCACACCGTCCAAAATGTGCAGATCTGGATGATCGCGGGGAACGCCAATCCCAGGCCGGAGAGACACAGGGCACCGAACAGCGATATGAAGAGGTCCAATTGGGGGATCGCCACGGCCAACAGGACTGTAAGAAAACAGGTTTAATGAACGTTCTCTTATCTTGCTTCGTTGGATAAGTTTTTTTTTTTTTTTTTTTTTTTTTAGAAGTATCTTTCAATTAATTTGATTAAATTTTTTAAGTATCGTATTCAAAGAGAAGAAGTGTCGTTATGATATCGATAAACCTGGATCTTTGATCAAAAGTTATCATTGACTTTTTTTTTTTCTTCTTTACAGGGAAGAAATATTAGAAGTGGAAGTTGTGGATTGCTGTTACAATTACATTTTGATTTTTGATATTGAAATTTATTGGAATTTTTTTTAGAACATTTAGAAAATTTAAAATTATTCGGATTTTGATTTTATAAATGAATAAATTGCAATTGAATTTAATAAATTTGGTAATCGTTACAAAGAGATAAAAAATAGATAAATATCAAAAGAAAATTTTCAATGAAGTACGGTTGGATTCAATTAGGTCTTCACAATAATTACTCAGTGTCAGAAGGGATCAGGTCGCAGGTCAGGGAGAATCTGAGAAGTGGTTATATTTGTACAATAGTTAGTTTTAACCAGTTTGAATCAAACGCAAGTAAGCCTTTACACCAATTACATGCAGGAAGAGTTCAAGATTCAATAACACTTATATTTCATTTAACTCTGATTATCTGAAGCCTCAATTAACCCTCATTAATCCCATCTAAAATTAAAATCAAAAAGAATAAAATATTTCGTCCGTTCAATATCGACTTCTTCCTTTAAAAAAAAAAAAAAAAAAAAAAAAAGTTTCTTTACTATCGTAAAAAAAAATTACTCCCTCCACTTCCCTCCATCCTCGAAAAGGATAATTTAACCGTGACGTCAATGCGAACGCATCAAAGGGAGAAACGTGTTCGAGTCATCTTGTAAAAATAAAAATCGCGCTCGATACTTGAGCAACACGCCGCCATACACGAGAGAATAATAATCGATGCTGTGTGCGATCAATATTTCAGCCATTGGTTCGATTCCTGGCTGGAATTGACGTCAGATCGGGTGAAGGACTTTTACAGACGTTCACTTACACGTGAGAAGGACGAGGCTGGTCCTCACGACGTATTCCCACAATAATTTGTGCGAATTCTTCTCGAGATTTGGGGCGATATACTCGTTCCAAATGATGTCGATCGCGACGTAGCACTGGATAGGATGGGTGAAAAAGATGGCTATGGCCAGCAAGATTTGAACAGCATTGGCCAGAGCAAGTGGTTCCCCCAAACTGAAGGTGATGCTACCCTCGATGGCGCCGCCGTAACGAATGTAGCCGAAGAAACCCATCCCTGTGTAAAGGGCAACTATCACGCCCATCCCTATGTTCAACACGCCAAAAGTCTTCATGAACACCTTTGGCTTCTTCATTTCGTTCTCCAGTGGCATGATCTGTGAATTAAAGATGCGTGCCAATTCTCAGAGAGTAAACAGTTTTCACAAAATGAGATGAAAATTTTCACAATTTTCTTTTATTTTTTTTTAATCGTTTGAAATATTGTAAAATTTAGAAAGTTTCAAAAAAGTATCAAATGTATATATATTCAAGTAATGTAAGTGGTTAAAATTTATAAGTTTTGTGATTAACTTGTAAATTTTCCATTTATAATTTAAGAAACGTTTCAAAATTTCGTTAAATATAAATACTCACCACGCCAATAGCCTCGAGAGCGAACAGCACGGTGCCAAAGTAAAGGGGAAAGTTTTCAACGTTCCCGATCACATCGCGATTTTCAAATGATAAAGGTTCCCTAAATATATAGTACAATATTATGCCAAAACCGATGAACGTAATGAAATTAGCGACCGTGGAACACGGCGCCAAGAATTTTAGATTTCTGATCCAATTGACCAAGATCAGGGGCAGCAAGATTGCTAGCATGTACAGCCTGAGATCGATATCTGAAACATACGTTTTCAATGCCTGAAATCAAAAAAAGAAGAGAAATATTCATTAGTTGTTTAGAAATTGATGAAATTTACATTCCAAAAGGTGCAAAAATGTATACAATTTTTATGTTCTTTTATACTTTTTTATAAAATTATGTGTGTAATTAAATGAAGGATGTTAACATGAATGTAATGTAAAAATTAAGGATGCATGTGAAGTTAGATTGATAGAATGTTATTAGAAATAATATTAATATTTATACATTTCACACACAAATATTTCTATTATTGTTTAACTTCCTTTACTTTGCTTCTCTTAATAACTCAATTTTTGCCTTATTTTACTTTACTTTACCATAGTTCAATTTACTTTAACTTAACTTTTTCTTTGCTTTTCATTTTACATCACTTTCCTCTTGTTTTGTATCAATTCGCTTTACTTTCTCCTTTACCTCAACCTCCTTTTACATTTCCTTTCCCTTCTTTTCCTTCTATCCTTTTCATCTCACGATTCTCCACTTATTTCTCAACTTTTCACAAGTTTTCAACCACGAAAGTGTCGCGTGAACGTCGACACGACGATCATTATCGGTGTCGTCGATATCGGGCGTTTTGTTGCGTTTTGAATTCAAGGGCGGCCGGAAATGAGCCACGACTCGGTTCTTAACACGTACCATTTACCGACGGTACAACCTTCGCCTTACGTAATGAAAACATGACGCAACATGAGCACGGTTGTAGCACATTTTTGCCATGAACCATCGAGTTCTCGCGTTGAACGTAATTTTCCTTAGAGAAAGAGTTTCTTTCGAACGATTGCCTTATATAAACCTGCATTTTACGTAATTACGTAACCGACTTGGTCGGTACACAAGAATGGATCTGTTCGACGATGAAAAGACCCGTTTTAGTAGAACTTAACAATGGCGTGTATCTACTTCCGGTAAAGGAAATTGATAAAATATTTTTGTCGATCATTAAATTTTTAATTCGTGTTTCTGATTTTTAAATAAAAAGAAACTGGATATGGCAGGAATTTATTTCAGTTTATTTAAATAATTTGTTTGTTATTTCAATTGATAACAATGATAATTGATATCAATGATAGAAAATCATTAATTACTGATATAAAATATATGGAATGTTTTATTAATTATTTCGTTTTCGATCTCGATTTTAATTTTATTATTTTTGATTAGTGATTTTGATTAGTCGATTATTCTCTCTATAAAATTGAAACGTGTCTTAAAGATCAATAAATTTTATTTAATCCTAAAGGAATGTTACGATAACATGTTCGATAAAATTTTAAGTGGAATAAAAGTTTTTATCAGTGAAAGAATTCCATGATTTCTGATAGTGAAATGAGATAAATTAATGTGCGAGTGATTAGTGGAATTTTTTAGAAAGAAATTACGAATTAGATAATTTTTTTTTTTTTGATTTCAATTTATAAATCAAAAATTAAGTATATATTTTCTATTATTATTATTATTTCTTTTTTTAAATAAACAATAATAAAAATTCCATAAATATTCATACGTTCATTTATCAATGCCAATTGCCCAAATTTCTATTATCATATTTTCTACATCGATCTAAACCACGAATCCCAAAAATAGCACGAATCCTAAAAATACACAACAGATAATGTCAATGTAACTTATATAAGAAAGAAAGAAAAAAAATTTCGAGATCCATTACGGTTATCTATTTTTCGACACTACCGCCTTATTTATAACTCGTTTCGTAGAATATTTGCATATACGTATCCTTGAGAAGAAGAAGAAGAAGAAGAAGTAGAAGAAGAAGAAGAAGAAGAAGAAGAAGAAGAAGAAATGAAGAAATTCCATTTATAATCCCGCTCGAGTCTAACGCGTAGAAATACATACATTTTGAATGGACTATAAATATTAAAATAGGATCGCGTAACGTCGCTTTGTACGATCGTGATTTTATTGAGATCACGATAATTATGCGTGGTCCGGGTGACGGAACAACGTGATTCTCTCGTTCTTTTATCGAAAACATGTGTTTACACACGTTTCACGTAGGTATAATAATGAAATTCTAACGAATGGGACGCACAAACGATAATAATACGATAAACTGTAGTATTAGTACACTGCGCACGGTAAATGCCACGGTAAACGGTAATGGTGGTAATGGTGGTATGGTGAAGGTACCGGTCACTACCCATTTTCTCGAACGTATATTACTAAGTTCAATACGGCATGATTGAATGGCGGCAACATCGTATTAAATGTGACGCGATTACGGTAAATACGAAGGAAAGGAATAATAGAACGATGTTGCTTGCTACTTTGAAAAGATACTGTGAGATACTAGAGACGCTATTACTTTGTATACTATTGAATGATGCATCGTATATGCATTGTTTCTAACGTGTTTATACATCCAACATGATATATTAATTTTTCTTTGTTACAGATGAAACTGTATCGTATTTGAAGTTGCATTATATACAAGTAACAATACTGTGCCTCGATTGAAACAGTATATGCGAAGAAGAAATAAGTATTAATTTTTTATTTGATTAATTTAAAAAGAAGAAGAAGAAGAAGAAGAAGAAGAAGTTGCATCGATGTAAAAGTTAGAATAAAAAAAGGGGGGAGGCAAATAAATAATAATAAATCCGTTAAATCTAAAAAAACTAATTAAAAATCAAAGAGAAATAACGCCACGTTAAGCATAATATAATATCCAAAACAAACATTCCGTTATAAATAGATTACTATGCAAGATATATATAATGGTATCATAAAATAGATTGATATACACTGAGCGTAATGCAACACTGTGCCAATTATAAAAGTAGCGGTTGAACAATCAATTTGTTAGATTACATTAATTTGTGAGATTATATCGTCAGATATACGGGTTTGGATAAATTGGTGAAAATATAACGTAAAGAAGATATCAAAAATAAATGATCACCGTCACCGTCTAAAAATTATACCAAACTGTAAGAGATCAAATACGTATGATTCATTAGCAAGTATGCCAATTACAATGTGTAATGGCCAAGACACACGTGCGAGACACGTGTAAAACGTACTGTTCAACGTACTATCGCGGCTCAAGAATTCTCATTTTCTCTACCCGGCACAAGTTTCGCAAGCCTCGCGATACATTCCAGCCTCTCGACCGCGAAATAACACGAAACGCCTCCAGTTGACAAAAACGAAAGTTACAAGAATCGAAAGATTATTAATCGTGCCAAATATAGAACGATATATACGTATATATTCCTCCTACTCTTCGACGACTCTTCGACGCGGTCGCATCGAAAGAAAAAAGGTATATTGGATTGGAAAACTACGCTACCACCTCTAACTTGTAGATCGCCTTGAGGCAACGCCATTTTGGTCAAACCTCTTTTATTCGCGCGTTGACCGTGGCTCTCGTTATTCTAATTCCTGTCTCGTTTCAGGATGTACGATCAAAAGGGCGGAATACCTTAATCGGATTTGCAAGGATCGAATGGAAAAAATGGAAAAAAAATAAACGCTTTGGTACATTATCGGTATCGAGCATCGATTCGAAGATGATAGAATCGATAAGCGATAATTCGTATCGATAAGTACAATTGGATAGTGGAAATCGGTGCAATCGTTTCTTTCCACCGAGGATTAATGAGATTAATTGATTATATCTCAAAGAAATCATTTTTCACGCGATGATTATGTAATATTGTGTATATAATATTATTATAAAAAGTATTTACTGGCTATACTTTCAGAGAAATATTCAGAGATATCGATGATAAAGGTAATAAAGATAATAATAATATTTCCTAGTATCGGTCAAATAAAAAGAAAATACGTGATTCAATTAATCCGTGTTTTTTTTAAGCTATGTGATTTTGATTGAAAAACTGGATTAAATGGAAATTGTCGTTTATATCACGTAATTAATAACTCGTTATAGATTAGTGTATCGAGAAGCGAGATACATTTTCTTGAATTATTTTATTTTTCCTTTTTCACCTTTCTTCTTTCGCGTTCTCTATTTTCTCTTCGATCAAATCAATCTTTGAAACTAGGTTTTGATATTGAAAACCAATCGAATATTTTCCCCGATTCAGATAATGGCGAAACCGGTTCGATTTTACTTCTCACGCACGAATGGGATATGTTTTATTGCAGGAAAAATTATCTTCCACTTCCCGAACCGATACAGCAACACTTTATTTCCTGTCGTAGCCGGATTAAACCGATTTCGATCGGTTTATTCGAGTTATACAACAAATCGTAATGCGACATTCAATCGATTGTCCAATTAACAACTTCCGTTAGAAGTTCTTTGAAATTTATTCCTTTTTTTTTTTTTTCTATTTTATTCTCAAATTACAGAACGACGAATCTTAATTAATCGATTAAAAAAAATTCAATTATTACTTGTCCAATCCTATTCTCCTTTGCTTCATCGCGATTACATATATCGGTAATAATTTAAATTGGATCAATTGTATCAAAGGAATAATTTTTTGGAAACAGATTTCTATATTAACTAAAAATCTAAATTGAAATCAGTGAATCAGTATAGTTGTTTGTAAACTTTCTTCTAGGAAATACATATATAAAGAAAATTTAATAAATCTTTATCATAAGATCAAAAGGAAGCAAACTTTTTCTTGCGATGGAAGTTTTTCTATAAAATACAAAAATAATAATAATAATAATAATAACAATAATAATAAAACGTAAAATATTAATTAAATCAAATTCAACGTATTCTACAAAATTTTCCTTTCCTTAATAAAAATAAACGAAACGAACTTCTCAAACGAACTTCACTTTCTTCCCAATAAATCAAATACGTCCAAAACATCTCAAAAACTGATCTAGAAATATCTATATCCATAAATTCCAAATCGAATCCAATCGAATAAACTTCCATAGCAAACATCCATAGAACCACCAAATTTCTTAAATCAACTTTTACAAGAAATAATTACAAAGAACCTATTTACCACGTAATCTGAATTCCACGCACAAGCCTGCCCAAGCAAAGCGAGACAAAAACCCGATAAATTTTCGACCCCTCGATTTCCTTCCTCCCCCAAACAGGAGGAGCGCAAATCACGTTCAACGTGATCCATATCCGCGAGCGATATATACCGGTCGACCGATTATTTCAAGCAAAATTCTTCACGTCTGTGTCGACCCGTTTGGAAACTGGATAGATAGATAGATAGATAGACGGATGGATAAATAGGCGCGCGCGCAGGTGTGCACAGGTGTGTGCGTGTGCGCGTATGCGCCCGTTTCACTGTGCAATGGAACGCAGACCTCCTGCGCTGGCAATGTAATGGATAGTTTAGTTACGACACATGTTATTACGGCAAGTGGTTAGAAAACGTGGATGAAACGAGCGGTAACAACACTCGGGAAAACTTGATTCCTTTACGAACACCTCGAATCGAATTCGATCGATGCAGAAAATCCATCTGCCTTGTATCAGTATTCGTTTGATTCGTGGTCGAAAATCGGTGAGCTTTCGAATTATGTATATTTTTTTTCCCTCTTTTCTCTCTCTCTCTCTTTCTCTTTCTCTCTCTCTCTCTATCTATCTCTCGAGTGAACGAATACCTGTTGAACTGACTGGCTCTGTTTAGTCGGTGCGTTTAGTCACGGAGAAAGGATTGTTAGGACGGCAAGGTTTTCTGTGTGGGAACAGTATATCGGTGGGAAGTGTATCGATCGTGAAGTATCGATGTTTCGAAATATTCGTGGCTGGGGTATCGTGATATCGGAATACGACGTATAAATGCAAGTGAAATTGGGATACGTTTTTGGGATATGATATAGAGTCGGAACGAAATCTTTTTTTTTAATAGATCGTTTTTTCGGATAGAGGATTTGTACAGAGGGAGGAAGTGATCTTACGTAGAGGTTAGTTAATAAGTTTGAATTGTTGAAACGAGATGTAATAAACGTTGTTTGCTTTTTGAGAGCGAGCAAGTGGGAAAAGAATAAACGATCTATACGCTACTTTCCATTTAATCGAAACGCAATAAGCGTCGTAAGATACGTAACCGCTTATTCTATTTTTCACTTCTTATTCCTTAGATACCGAAAATAGATTTAGTCTTTTGTATTAAGCATTTTTATACACGTTGCGTTATATACAATAGATTATATATAGTATTTAGTTAAAAAACTATTTATTGCGATGAAATATTGATCTCAAAATAATATTTCTATGAGTTTTATATATATATATTATATATTATATTAAATATATTTATATTTTTTATTTTAATTAAAATTTTAATTAAATTATATTTATATATATATTAAATATTTATTCAAATTGAAATATAAAAATATTATTTAATGTTTAGAAAGAAATATTACGAAACGTGTATACCATTTAAGAAAAAGGTCTCGTTCGTCTGAAGAATCTCTCATTCGAAAGAAAATTCAATTTGCATTTTCTTTTCTTCAACAAAAAACGTGTGAAATTGTAACAATTGGAAAGATTCTAGTGTAACGGGGTTACAAAGAACCCCAACGAATTAACAAACGATTGAAATTTCGTCCCCATACGTGTGAGGAATTTCCATGGAAAGAGGATGGAACGAGGTTACTCAGACGCAGAAATCTAAAGTAATCGAGGCGACCTTCTTCCAAGATTTATGACAAATCCTTCTGACTCTAATTACAAAAGATCCTTGACAATAATTTGCAAAATATCTTACGCGATTATGCAATTGTTTCTTCAATCGAATAATTCGTATCCATAATTAAGAAGGAATATATATATATATATGTTTTTTATTTGCGTATTCGGGAAAGTCGAAGAGGAATGCCGCGCGTCGAACGAAGAAGTTGTAACTCTGCGTGAAAATTAGACTTGTAAATTGTGCGAATGATTGGCGAGGAGGGGGCACGAGTTATATAATGATCGCATTCTTGGAGAGATCTCGAGACGCATTAAAAAAAAAAAAAAACAATCTCGAGGCATTGGAAAAATATTGATGAAAATAATCTAAAAAAAAAAAAAAAAAAAAAACTTTCCAAATTTCTCTTTTCGATCCGAATAATCTCGATCGAATATAAATATTTAAAAACTCGTTTCTTCGTTGATCTCGAAGAAAAACTATTTAATAAATCACCTCATCTAAACCACCTCGTAAAATCTTTTTTGACAAGACAAAAAAAAAAAAAGGAAAAAAGGCGTTAGAACGAACATCCTTGCATGAAAATTAAAAACAAGAGGAAGCGAGATATCTTTTATGTTAATTTCACGGTCAACGTGGCGAAAGAAGAGAAGCCTCGAGCCTCTTCCTGATTCTTGACGATGACCGAAACGGGCCGTCTCGGTGTCCTCGGCCAATGAAAAAAAAAAAAAAAAAAGAGAGAGAGAAAAAAAAATCTAGCCCCATCGTCCTGCCTCATCGTCCGATGATAAAAATGTCAACGAACCTGAAACCGTGTATTTATCACCTTGACTCGAGGCTGCACGGCGTTTACGACGACGCGTCGGCCCGTCTAATCGTTCATTCCTCGTGCCGTGTTTCCCTGACCTACATGCTCTCTTTTTCTCTGCCTACACTCGTGCTACTACAGTCTGGTCGCGCCGCTTTAGAGCGGGATTCCTGGCGGTAAAAGCTAGATCAGCGCGAGTAACAAGAGTAGCGAAATCTCTGTGAGTCATTTCTGCTTACGTTCGTCGGGGAAAGATGGAGAGCGGAGCTAGCTAACGAAATAGGTGATGTCATTGGTTGCTCGGTTGAGAAGGTTTGAATTCAGGATTTTCCGTAATCACGGTGGATTACGGTAAATGGATAAATTTTATGAATTGATTTCTGACTCTGAATCGAGTAGAATTGATTGTTTGGATTTGGTAAATAAGGGAAATTGAAGATTATTGTATTAATTTCAAGTATTGGATTGGCGTAGAAGGATTTTTGTAATCGCTCGTGGATCGAAAATTTTTGACGAGAGGAGAGATTGATCGAAAATTTTGAACATCGATTCGTTTCTCATTGATGCTGGTTGAGAGGAATTTGAGACGAGGTTTTATTGGATGTAAGACTAGATTTTTATTGGGTATCAGGTGATTATGATTCTTATTTGGTAAAGTGAGTTGAGTTTATACAAGTGGAAGCGAATCTTTAATGAGGTTTAATTGTGGGTTAAGCAGTTGAATTTAAATGAAATCTTATTAGGTCTGGAACTGGATTTGAATTCACATTATCTGTAATCTGATTAGAATTAACTGATATTAGTTAAATTCTAATTAGCTTTATCTATTTAGCTTTAGATCTACTTGATTTTTTTTTAAATCCCGATTAAGTTTCACTAACAAGTTGATTCACAATTTTCCCCCTCTTTCCTCTTTTTAATCAGAAATATTAATTTCTACATACGAAAACATTTTGTTCTTCAAACTTTTGAAATTTTAATTCTTTCGTTTCAATCGTTTTAATATCTTTTCTTTATTACATCAAAAAAAAAAAAAAGAGAGAGATTCGCAAGTTGATTAAAGTATATTTTAATCGTCGTGTTAATGGAAAAATATACTTTTACTTTTATCGAGTAAAAATTGTTTAAAAGTTCAAATGATCGATCGCATGATGGGGAAAAATCGATGAAAATGATTTCGATGAATGGTTTTTTTTAATCCTACGATGAACTTCACGTGCGATTAATTGATAATTGTACTAACCATTTTCAAATTCGTTGCGATGAATACGGTATAGACGCAGCAAGTTCCCAATTGATATACCATAAGGAATAGGTTTATCGTGTGACTGCAAACAAAGGATTTTTCTCGGTTGAAATTTCAACAAGATTACTTTATTATTGTGCTGTATAGAGATAATCTCGTTAAGTATTTATTTGCACGCGAATCCATTCAGATTTTTTTTTTTTTATTATGTTATTATGTATCACGATCTTGACACGATTTAACACGTTCTCGTGTTAATACCGACGATCATAAATTAAGGATAATCTTTTCAAAAAATTTCGATCATTAAATAAATCTTTCTCGTTGATATTTCTTCCTCTAAAAAATAAATTGAATCGATAAACTTAACTATTGGAAAAATTCATTATCGATCCTTAACCTGTTAACCATTAGCTTAAGCTTGATTGATTACAGATAATTATAAAATGTATCTAAACTTTCATTTACAATAGTAATTTGACTTGAATCAATTCGCTTTCTAAATTTATTAATTTTTAATTCCTTACCTATAATAATTAATGTATAATTATACCTAAATATCTGTTACACACCAGAATATGAAAAACAGATTTTTCATTTTAATTTTAATTCCAAAAAAAAAAAAATCATCGAGTTAACAGGTTAACAGATAGAAAAATTTGAAAACTCTCGTTAAATTATTAAATTTTGAATTTCTCATTCTCCTTATCAAAAAATTCTTTTGCATCTTCAAAATCATTTTTATTAATTTTGTTTCTCGATATTATACTCGTATTCCTTCGAGGAAATGTTTCAAAAATAATCCCAAGGATATTTACAAGACGTATCCTGCGTGAAGATTAAATACGATTAAACTACTCACACGGACGCCCTTGAGAATCGCCTGAACGGCAATGGACCAACGGCCAGCGCAGCCTCTGCCGTAGCCGGATAAGACAACGAAGCCACCCTCTTCCTCTTGCAAAGCTCGTACTCGGAGCTGACGAGTATCCGCATACAGTAAGTACAGAATAAACCTATGATTATGGTCGCGACCGTGCCAATACCGTAGCCAGCGTGGTAGAAAGCCCTTGGCATCGCGAGTATTCCGGTTCCTAAGCTGCCTTTAAGCAGATGCAGCAACGTCTCGAAGCTCCTGAAAATATTTAACAAAAAAATCCCCCGTTTTTCAATTTTAAAAATTGTAAATTCCCGATAAAATATTCAAGGATTTCAAGAAAAATTTAATAAAAGGACAATTGTCCTTTAATTTAATCTCAAGCTCGTATGATTAATAAGCAAGATTTTCGCGAAAGAAAGAGGGAAAAGGATGGATTCGATGGAGGGGAGGAACAGAGGATAATTAACTATCATTCCAACATTTTATGTAACGTGAGCCAAGAAACAAATTACGAATATTTCTCTAAGAAATAAGGATATGATCGAGAAAGAGAAGCAAATATTATGATTTAAATTTGTATGGAAATTTGTGTCGACAAAATTTTGTCACGTATAGCGATGGAAGCCGCGTACCAATTAATTATCATTTTCCAGAAAACATAGGTTTCGTTATAAACCTCTATCGACCTTTTAACCAGCATTTTCCAAGCTGGTTTCCTTGAAGGTAATCTTATTCTTCCGCTTCGTGACTAATCGTCGTAACAAATTACCGGATAATTTGTATCTAGAGAAACGCTGTTGGAATAAGCGAAACGTCGTTTCGAATGCACGCGGCGTTCAACATTATGCAAATGCTGTGCGATTGCATTGACTATTCGAGCGATATCGATTTGTTTCGATTTCTTTCTTTTTGTTTTTTTATTTTTTTTTTTTTTTTTTCTTTGACACGATCGATCTATTCGATCCACGATTCTCTGATATCATTAGGTCATCCCGTAAGTGATGCAGGTTTTCTGCGAATTGAATTTAAAACAATGAAGATAGAAGATAATTGTAGGTAAGAAGAGAAATCATATTGTTTTATTATTTAAATAAGAATTGTAACAAGGAAAGTTATTAATTGAATAGATACTTACGTGGTTGGATGAGCGACCATCCTGTGCTCGTATGGATTGTAATCCTCCTCGTACTCCTGCACGCTCTTTTTCTTCTCCTCCAGTTCCAACACGTAGATATTGGACTTGTTGTGGCTTGGATCGTAACTGAAAACGATTAAGAAATAAATAGATTAATTGACGAATAAAGAAGAATGTGAATATTGATGGTGAATCGTGAACGTACCCATTTTGATTGCTCCTAGAAGACGACCATCTGTTGGTATCCAAAGTATCCTGGAAGAAAAAAGAAATTTTGTCATTAATCGAAAGTAAATATCTTTAAAAGTATGAAGTATAATTTACAAGCCTCCATTCATTCTCCAAACAAAAGTCTTTCTAATTTTATCTTACAAAATTAAAAAGTACTATTAATTTGCAATTATTATTAAAAAAAAAATGTAAAATTTCTTGTATGCCAAATATTCCACAAATCCCTTTTGAAAAGTGACGAATTCTTCTCTATTATTATCAAGAAACTATTATCAAGAAATAATAAAATTCTCCTTCTGTACACGATTTTAAATAGATTGCAAAATAGAGACGATTTACATAACTGGCCACTGCGAAATATACGCCGATGTAATACACCGCCGATGCAAATTAAGCGGTGTTTGTCTCCGATAAAAATCAGCAGTACAGTGTCCAATGATGGATGGGTTCACAATGCGAACACGTCGATTTTTCGTTTTGGAATCCTCGTCGATTCGTAATTCACGGCTCATCGCGATGAATAACGATCGTACAAAACGATGATAACCACGTGAACGTGACTTTTATATTACGTGATAAAATGGCCGGATTTTAATATTCCTCGGGCATAACCATATCAATCAGCATAACTTTATGTTTAGTCCGTTTTTCGTCGAATACATGATGAGTTGGATGCACGGGATAATATGTTTTTTTTTCTTTTCTTTTTTTTTTTTTTTTTCCATAAAAACGTTATCTTAGACGTTTACGACGAATAAATTTTATTTCGAGATACAAGCTTATATCTTTTACCTTTTAAACGGTTTTAAGTCGATGGATGTTGCTCGAATGATTTAATAACTGTGTCTGAAACTGTGTCTAAACAGTCTTATCTATGTGTGTTGAAAAAGGTATTGAATATTTATGTTTTTAAAAAGTTTGAAATAAAATTAAGAGATATGGTACAATAAAACTTTGAATCAAATTTCCATTATAATTATTGGAAATAAATGGTATACATTTAAAAATGTATTAATTTTGACATAAAATTGGAGTAAAATATGATAACTTTATTGCTAAATTTTTGTCATTTGATATTTAAGAATAATAGCAGAAGTTAAAAATTCCGACTGTATTCCAACTGTAACTATGTTATTTCGAAGAAATATTTGCACGAGAATTTTAGGATTATCATATTATCAGATATAACATGATGAAAATTTAAAAAAAAAAAAAAAAAAAAACATCATTATTCATAAATTATAATTCATCGTTGATATAATTAATTAGCACGTGTAATACAAGTGAAATAAATTGTTATCATATATCATTAAAATTATTATTCCAAAAGATATTTGTTTCAGTATGTTAGTTCGATTTACACTTACAAAAGTCAACAGTAGATCTCAAAAAGAATTAGTGTGAATGCCTCAGACTGTCGATAAACAGCCGATATTATGGAAGATCGAGATATTATTTCAATATCGATATACATTCCAGATAGAAAAAAAGGAAAAAAATAAACACGATAAGAAAATATGAAAAGAAAAAAAAAATAATGAAAAACAAATAAATTGTGAAGTAATATCATTGTACTAGAAGCTTTTCAATATCAACATGTAATATCAAATATATCGTTATCGTATTATATAATATCAAATACATTGTATTGCAACATTTTTCTCACATTCGTATAATTTTTCCATTATTTGAACTTTAATTCTCACGTTGAAAAAACATATTGAGACATATTGAGCATATTGAGCATATTGAGATTATACTATGAAATCTACTTTTAACAATATTTTCCTTTTAAATATACGTGTATTAGTCAAAGACTTAAATAATGTAGATTATTTAAAAAGAAAAAAAAAAACGTTTTTGCGCAATAGACACAGGAAGAACATATTTCATATTTTATTACATATTGTGTATTCTATTAAAAAAAGAAAAATATATGGATGAGATGTGACTTCATACATACTAATATTTCAGAAAATTTTCGATTATGTATCAATATAATATTATTGTAAAAAAAAAATTGGGAAATTGGACGTATTAAATATACAAATTATAAATGAACAATACAGTATTTTCTACAATTATTTTTTACAATTATTGAGTTGTATTTTTATAATAAAATTATATGTAGCTGTACTATATTTATCAAATATTATTAAAACATTATTTTATATTTTTAAAATCAATCAATACATGTTGCTTTTATTAACAAAAATTTAAGTAATTAAAAACTTCATTTAATACAATCATCATGAGAATAATGGGCGAGTTTTTAATAATTCAGATATTGGTATGCAAGAATTATGGAATATTATTTATTTCTAATTTCAATAAATGTTCAAGAATTAAATATTTAAAACAATTTTGCAAAATACATATATATACAAAAAATTATTTTGTACAAGTTACCGATCACCATTGAATCATGTTTCAAGAAAAATAGTCTGCAAAAATGAATTATTACAAAACAATATTATTAGGAAAAATATTAATATCTTCGTTGTAGATGTTATAAATAAAAATATTAACGAGAAGAATATTAACGAAGAGTTAAATTGACGTATCGATTATCGAAGATAATCCATCATCCTTGACAAATTGTAAATTTTCGACTCACTTTTACATTAAAAAAGATTAGAAATATCGCAAATTTAAATAATATTGTAAGTAAAATATTTTAAATGGCCATCTTTTGCCGCCATTTCCTAATGGAATTTTTTCCTAGATCGATCGATGGGCCTATCGTAAAGATTTCACCACTCGTTATCATTAGTGAGATAAAGAAAATAAAGAACGACGTTTTTGTAAATAGGCATCCCTTCTATGTTTACGAAGAACAATAGATTTTAAATTGTACTACCATCTCTCAAGGTTTATTCATTTATCTTTCAATTCGTTTATCTTTTCTTTCTTTCAGTTTTTTTAAGATTCTAATTTTTTTTTTTCTTAATCCCTTCTTCTTTGTTCTTCTCCCATACATTTCTTCAGATTTTTATTACTGTTTACTTACCTTTTTTTATTGTTTCTTCTTATTTTTATTGCAACACCAATCTTGGTAAAATGGTAACAAGAAATGGTAGACAAGAAGAGTTAAATTGAAGAATTAAAAAAGATTTTTATATAATTGTTTATTGGCGGAATAAGCTTGGATTATTATGTACCTTATTAAAGATTATTAAAGATAATATTATACGTTGATTACACTCTTCCCAATTCAAATATGATTCCAGAAAAATCTTTTACGTTAATACAACGATAAATAACATTATTATTGTGTACATTTTTACAAAGAATTAACTTTAACATATGCTCATTTAAAAAGAGAAAAGAAATAATTATTTTTCCTCTTATCCTATCTTTGGTTAAAGAGATTTGAAATTGTTTAAAGAGGTTAATAACACGAGGAATTTTATACTTCGTACACATTCTTCGATTGCCTGAGAAAAGATATTGTCGCATCACTGGAGATGCAACAGATAGCCGGACACGTGTCTGACCAAGAATGTTTGTATCTACTGATTTGTTAACAAAGAAAATATTATGAGTTATACGTAAGAGGTTCCAATGATATTTTATATATATATTCACGTAGACAAAAGATCGAAAAACATCTGACTCATATCATTTGCATATGTCAAGATCATTTGCACACATGTTAAATAGTTTATAAAATATTAAATATTGAACTTCTACGTTAAAAACTAATCGAAATAATAATAATAATAATAATAATAATTATCGTTTATCGATTTAATAATAGTTATTTATATAACATGTTTTTTTGGAAAATAGTTACAATTATTTTTAATTTTCAATCATTCGTATACGTAGAAACATTGGATTAAATTACAAATTAATGAATTTATATGAATAAATTCATTTTTATGAAATTTTTATAAAATTAATCATTTAAAATTGCTTATAATCGTTTGAAAATTAAAAAAAAAAATGCTCGAACAATTAAATTAATTGATTTATACATCTTTGCAGCTGTTCAATGCCATTTCCAAGAAGACGAAGATTTCGACACAATTGACATAAATTTGCTGATTCTATCGTTCGTTGATGACGACAATAGAAGTGACGAGGAACGAGTGTCGCGAAGGAATTCGAACCGGATATTCTTCAAGGTATCAACTAACATTTGAATAAATAAATTGTGATCGAAGCAAATATATATATATTAATTAACAATCATACGTAACAATCATAAATCGAGAATGAATGAACTTAGATGAATCAATATCTGAGCCAAGACGTAACACGTGTTACGCATTGTCAATTAACAATTTTCAATGACGATTCAGCCTGTTATTGAGAACTGTTAATCATGGACGTTACACGAATTGAGTTATCATTATTTGCATATCGACAATAAATGAATTAATTATTCATTGACCTATATTTAATAGAAATGTTTTTCAAATATTTTATTCGTTCTGTTTAATGAACATAGACAATGAATGAATGTTTATGATTATTAATCACGTTAATTACGCGAATATCTGAAAGAAAAAGGAAAGAGAGAGAGAGAAAAAAAATAAAGAAAAATATTTGGATATTAATAAACTGAAAATTATATTATCCGGTAATTTGCGAATTGTAAAAAAAAAAATCTTCGAGTCGAAAAACATACCTATTGCTCGACTTTTTAAGACCATTTTTTTTTTTATCTCGAAGCGTGTATAAAAGATTGTTCGACAACAAAATATTTTTATTTTCAAAGATGTCACGATATATGATCAATTCGCATATTTGTGCATGACGATGTACAATGCATCGATAAGATATTTTTTTTGTCTGATAGATTGTTATTCATTATTGTTTCGATAAGAAATGTATTAAGTGGTATTAAGTATCCGATGAAGTATTTTAACAAATATCTGATTTCATTAATGATTTTAATCAAGATAGCTACTTAATTTTTCATAAAGTTCAATAAAATCTAACCTCGATACCATATAATAATAATAAATATAGCGTAATAATATCGCATAGATATTTTGAAGTAAAAGTTATAAAAT